CCTTACAAAATCAGAGTGCACTCAAATGTATTTGGCCAATTTGAACTATAATAAATAGACTAGTGTGAATCTTTTTATAGGTCAATTAATAGACATCTCTTCAAATAAGAAGAGCAGGCCCAGGGTCACATTTAGTAATATTTGCTTTACGTCTATGATTGGCTTTCTCTTGAGCTGGTTGTCATAGCTAAGTTTGCTCTTGTGAACTGAGGGTGGTGTTTAGAATCACATATACATCCTTGAATTGTAAATCATAACTATTAGTTATAAATTTAAATTGTCTAATATAATTTTTTGGGTCAACAGAAAAGGAACCTAATTTATGGTTGATCTGAAATAGGTTGGCAAAGGAAAAAGGAACAGGAATATGAACTAGTCCCTTGGAACTTACTTGTTCCCAAAGGGGGAATAGGGATTGAGGTTGAGAAGGCTGTGCAGTAGAAGCTGTAGATGACCACTGAACAACCAACCCAACCAGCAGGCAACGATGGGCAATTACAGGGTGACTGACCACAAAATGGCCACTTGTCACCATGTGACAGGGAAGCACAAGATGGTGACTGGTTACCATGCTCTCTACAACAAGATGACTGCTGCTGATCCCATGATGAGGGACCACAAGATGGCCACAAGATGGTGGCTGTCCATATGAGCTGCAGCAAGATGGCTGCTGAGGACCACTTAGAATGGGACTGCAAGATGGTGTCTGAGTACCATGTGGTCTGCTAGGTGGCTGAAACATGTGAGACCAAGTGTGGTGAGTCAGCAGGGAGAATGGTGATGCAGGAGCAGAAGGGAAAGAAGCAGGGCCATCTGACAGGATGAATGTCTCAGGTTGAGGACTCTGAGATTGGGGAGAGGAAGTAAAGGAAGAGTTAGAGACTGCTGGGGGTTGAGGAAAGGGGAGAATGAATGAGAGAAGAACGATTCCACAAAGTGAGAAAGGCCTGTAAATAAGGGATTTCTGCCAATTTGCCACTGTTGTGACAAAAGTTATATAAATTTTGAAGGATAGAGGGGTCAAATGTTCTCTCCTTAGGCCATGGGCTGCTGCTAAACTGATAGATTGGCCAAGACATCTGTCAGTAAAAGATCAGGTTTTTTTTTTAATAGCCTTCTTTAGGCCCTTAAGAGCACCAAGGTTATGAACCAGGTACCCCCAGAGGTGTGTTATTTGTGGGACAGGCAATGGTATTCCTCGTGACCAAATTGGAGGTGAGCTAAGAGAACAGCATTGCTTTGGGATGTCAGAGCTTTAACTTCCCCTGCAAGGAACATGAAAGCTGTCCTGGGTCACACTTACCCAAAGAAGTCATCACTTGTTCTGAAAGTGTGACAAAGAAAGTCCCAACACCTGTTCACATGGGCCATGACAGAGAGTGCAGGGTGGGGTCGCACAAAACAAGAGTTTTGCCTCAGGCTGTTCTGTGCAATGTGAGAAGCCTATAATTGGCTGCCACCTTATATCTGCAGGCTGCACCACCTTAATTCCCTGTAGGAATTAAGTTTGGTAATTAAGCAGCACCTTGCCTAGTTTGTTTGGCCTGGCCTATTATTCAGGGATTATGCTTATGAGCCTGCACAGGGGAAATTTGAAAATTTGATTTAACCTATGACCCTAAGTCTTGCCACTGTGGGCATCCCAAAACTGGTAAGGTAGTTAACATATGGCTAACAACATGTTTGGGTAGTTTCACCAGTCTGGGGAGGGGCATAAATGAAACCACTAAAGATATCTATAGTTACATGAACATATTTAAGATTGCCAAACTCAGGAATGTGAGTGACATCCATTTGCCATAATGCACTGGGGATAAGTCCTCTAGGATTAACCCCAAAGTGTGGAACGGGGAGGTGCGTGGCACAAGAGGGGCAATTTTTTACTGTCTGTCTGGCTTGTACTCTAGTGACCTTGTGCATAAGATGGAGGGTTTGGGCATTGAGATGGTGTAATTGATGACTCTTTTGTGCTGAAGTAACATTGTCATTGTGATCATTGGAGCTAACATTAGCTAAAGTACAAAGGAGAGCGTGCAGTTGAGTGGCCAGGCCTGCTGTATGATTACCATTGGCCAGAGGTCCTGGTAACCCAGAATGAGCATGTAGATGACCAATAAAAAAAGGGCAAGTTCTTTTTATAATAAGCACCTGTATTTGCCTAAACAGTTCTCCAGTGGAGGCACTTTTGATTTGGCCAGCTGTTTCTAGCAGGGGCACAGAGCATGCAATATAAGTGCTGTCAGTATATAAATTCACGGGCTGATTGGGAAATGCTAAAAGGGCTGCAGCGACAGCATGCAACTCTGTGATCTGGGCTGATGTACTGTTTGTTTGGAAGGATACAGTTTTACCAGGTGAATATACACTATTTAACATTTGAGCAGTGACAATGGTATTTGGGCTACCCATAATTAACCCCATTTGTGGCAGTACATCTTTACCCTAAAGATTTATTGGTAATCCAGCTATGACATATGGCTGTATTGTGCCTTGATTGCCCTCTCTGTCCTTCCAGGTCAGAAGTTTTGAACTTCTTTCTGGGTTTTGGCTTTGACCTATGCCTTTTAAATGAGTCAAAGTAATATCTAAGGGCCAGGCCGGAGGCCAGTCTTCCCTTCTTATAATAGTGACATCCACGCCTGTATCTATAAGGCCAGAGAATTTTTTTACCATCCAGCCATAACAACATAAGGGGTTTCTGAGTGGAAATTACTTTTGCCCAATAGACATCTGAAGATCCAGATCCTTTATTACCTCGTTGTTGCGAGATTACTTTATTAGAGGCAAGAATAGTAACTGAGTGAATCTTTGTCCATAAGTGATAGTGGTAATGTAGTTAGGTGAGGATGTCATGACCTTTATTTCTCCAGAATAATCATTATCAACTATGCCTGGAAAAACCTGTAGTCCATTAAGCGTTGTGCAGCTGCATCCTATTATAAGGCCAAATGTATTTTGTGGTAGGGGCCTAAAAACTCCTGTAGGGAGGGCCTGAATTCCCATTTCAGGGATTAATACTATGTGGGTGATAGAACTGAGATCGAATCCTGCACTCCCTGTTGTGGCTCTAAAGAGGTCTGAAACAGATTGTAGTTTGTTGGAACAAAGCTTACCGCCCCAAATATCTGTTTGGGTTTGGGGGTCTGGGACTGGCCCTGATTCCTGTTTCCCTGCAGTGGAAGCAGTTCTTTTCCATTAATATCCCCTTTAGATTTGCATTCATTAGCTCAATGGTATCCCCTTTGTCATGGTTTATGTCTGTGTCCCCCAGGCCTCATGAGTTTACATTGTGTATTTGTGATTGGTTCATTGTATAGTGCTTGGATTGATGGTGTTAGTGCTACACCCACTTAGGGGTGGAGCCAGGATGTGATGTAATGGCAGGAAGAAGGTGTGTCTTGCTCTTTGCTGGCTCCCACTTTGCTGTTTGGCAGCCGCCATGAACTGCAATCCAGCCATGCCTGCCTGCCTTGGAGCCAACTGAGTGTGGACTGAAACCTCCAAAAACTGTAAGCAATAAACCTTTCCTTTCCCAACTTTGGGCTTCAGGTATTTTGTCTCAGTGACGAGTAAAAAAGTAACTAAGACACCCTTTTACATCTAGGGCATAATCCTGGTGCTTTGGCTTTTGCATTGACATTGGAATCTCTATCTTTGAAGTCTTTTTTGCAGTTCTTTGCAAAATAATCACTCTCTACACAGTTAAAACATTTTTATTTATGCTTTTGAGATCAGAATCGTTTAACTGTAAATCCTTGTAAGGCAGCAGCCATAGCAAGGCCTTGCTGATAAGCAGTTTCAATGTCAATGGTACCAGGGATTGAACTCACAGCCTTTCATTTGCCAGACAGGCACTTGTGCCACTGAGCTAAATCTCCAGCCCCGGGGACTGAACTCACAACCTTGTTCTTGGCTGCAGCTGTTTAGGCCACTAAGCTAAAGCCCCAGCCCTTGCTTAATGCTAGTGAGAGAGGAACTCATATCGCTCTTAAATTGCTTTTGGGCCTCTCTGTCAGCCTAGGCTTCCTCCCCTATTAAAATATCAAGGTCCTACCCATTGCTGGCTTGCGTATTATGCCTGGTGGTCTCTTTGCAATTTTCTATATATTTTGATTTCCACAAAAGATAATCCCCACCCAATAAAGTTGTTCGGGTCAATCCTTGCCAATCTGTAGGTGTGAGGCAGCCGTCAGCCAAAGAATCCAAGATAGCAAGAGTATATGCGGCTGTGTCTCCCTACAGTGCAACCAGTGTTTTTAATTGTTATCAATTTGAAATCGAAACCAGAGAAGTGGCGAATAACTCCACCCTCTGCGTCCATCATTTCTGTCACAGGAAAAACCTTCATATCATCTAGCTTTAATATTGGGTCAGGCTAGGGGATAAATTTAGAAATCATGCCTCTTGGGGGGGTCGCTGAGCAGGAGAAATCCCGGAGGAAACTCTGGGGTTAGTTTTACTTTTCATTTTAAATTTTGTTATTTTTAGCCTTTCTAATTGAGCTATCAAATCCTGATGTTCTTTTTCCAGTGCAATCTGTTGTCTTAAAAGTTCAATTTGGTCTCTTAATTCCTTCCTAGTATCGAAAGTTAAACACGCTGAAGCCGGAACTATACAGCTGTTACAATATGGGGGAGGGCACTAGCAGTTACCGGGTCGTAATGGACAATTGCTTAATTTTTTTCTTTACTCTTTGCATCTTTCAAAGCCTTTCTAAACTTTTAACAAAAATCTCATGCTGGCTAATTTCTTGTCCCATAATTGCTGTTCACTTACCAAGGTTCAGCGGCGTGGCAGGCTCCCACGTTGGTCTTCTATTTTCTTTTCCTTTTTCTACTTTGGGCCCACGAACAGCATCCCTCATGAAGTCCCCTGTTCTCGAGTCCCACGTTGGGGCGCCACTTGTTCCGGCCTGTGGGTAAGTCCATGGAGACCCTAGATGGGGAGTGGGGATGAAAAAGAAACAAGAGACGCAAAGAGCGGAGACAAGACAAAGTCCATCCAATCAAGTCTCGTTTATTCAAGGAAGGAGTATCAAATATATAGGGTATTGGGGAGGAGGGATTTGGGTTCTGAGATGCCAGCAGGTAACTTAGCAACAGTGGCAAGACCAAGAGTTATAGGTCAATTCAAATTTCCCATGTGCAGGCTCCTAAAGCAGACTGATTAACATAATCCCTGAATAGACCAAACAAGCTAGGTAGGCAAGGTGCTGCTTAACTACCAAACTTAACTCCTAGAGGTAGTTAAGGTGGTGCAGCCTGCAGATATAAGGTGGCAGCCAATTACAGGGCTTCCCACAGTCCTGTGATGCTGTGATGCTCCACAGCAAGACTGCATCAGCCAAAGACATCCTGGTTCCTTGAGAACCAAGAGGTAATAAGAAAAGGGTTTCACCTTGGAAAAAGGACAAACTCTTTATTAACCTACCATCTCTCCTCACTGTCCTCATCAACATAAAGATCTTCCTTAGCATAAAACTACTACCACCCCCTAAGCCATCTGATAAATTCCTTATGATTTTCCTCTATGTACATGTAACTGATAAATGCTGAGGTTCTGGCTGCTCGTGGCCTTTTGTTCCCCATGAGCAACTGGTCATCCTAGATCCCTGCTATTTTGCTATTTTGTTTCTTGGTCTTCCTTTCACCTCATGCCCATAACATCTTTCAGGAGATTAGAGAATACTGCAGGGGTTCCCACCAACTATGGATGGGCCAAATAATAAGGTCAACAAGACTATAATGAATACAACCAACACAAATTTCTACTAGGAAGAGCCAGTAATAGCCTCCCACAAAGAAGATAAGAGAAGGTCCAGGGAATTTCAGAATCTGATATGGGATTAGCCTGCCATTTAATAGCTGGAGTAGCCATTGAGATATTAGAAGAAGTATCAGGAATGTACACACAACATTCAGCTTTTATAATTGCACAGTTGTACTCCCTTGTGTTGCTGTTATAATGTCTAATGCCATCTGATTTTGGAGGACAGTTTGTCTCATTAATTTTACTTCTTCATTTAGTAGAGACCAGTAGATGTGTCACTTAAGGCCCACTGAGTATAGTTACACAAGGCCTGAAATGTGTTGCATGACAATCTCTAATCCTAGCAAAGGAACAAAGATAGAAGCCAAATGATCATACCAGTGAAACTTATTTCTAGACCACTGTGGTGGATTGACAAAGGTGGTTAACTTGTAACACCTAGTTGAAGTGAATCAGCATGGTGGTGAATATGGAGGACCCACCTGAGGACTGTTGCCAACTATATATAAGGGAGAACTGGAGAGGAAGAAGTAGGTAGTGTTGGTTCTCCTGGAGAAGCTTGTCGTTCTGGATTTCCTGATGTGAATTTGGCTATTCTCATCATTGTAGGAGCTCAAGACCTTGCTGTCGCTGAGGATGGCTATAGTACTTTTTAGGAGAGCTCTGGTCCTTACTTGGAGCATTGCTTCCTGGTACAAGTGCAGATCCCTCAGCCTGCTAGCAGTTTCTTTACCCCACTGGCACAGACTTTCTAGCTTTCACCATGACCTTTAGGCCTTCCCAGCACAGATCTATGAAACAGACTTGCATGATACATTGTTGTGGGCTCTAGGGCTCCAGTTGGACTAATGGCAGGCATTGCCATGGGCCCTACATTTTTAGCAGGATTCATGTACGACATTGCATTGGATCTAGGTCCTCAATTGGATTTTTTGGGCCTCTAGTGTGTGTACAGATTTCATGCACTCTTTTGTATTTGACTCTTTAGGGTGACTACTATAATCTTTTAAATTATGTGTCCTTTATTAAATTGTTTCCCTTGCAAACCTGGACTACAACAACCATCAGTGTTGTAGATGGGGTAAATTTACAGGTTTGTCAATATTTTTGATGCTCTTCCCTTATAACCATGCAAATTCGACTATGCATCTCTCTATCCATTCAAAGGGTAGCCAGGTTCTTAAGTTGGTTCCACAGGACCAGTGAATGCCACTGAGAGTTTTACATCTAATTCAGGATGGTTAAACCAGACTGCTGCAAACCAGTCTTTGACCTGTAAAGATATAGTGTATACACACTGCCCAAGGGGTGTCCATACCAAGTATTTAGTAGGATTAGGACAATGGGAATAAGTGATTTTTTGTTCCCAATATAAGAGAGTCTTTTTACTAAGGTGTCCTATAGTGTGGGTTAACCATATGTAATCATCCCATATCTGAAAGTAACCACTTCTATATTTATGATTGTTGGTTTTTATGAGAGGAGACTTCTTTGTATTTAATACGGATTTTACTAGTGTCTGAAGAGAGGTTTCAGTGGCATTTTTAGAAAAAATTCAATTATGTCCAAGATCATTAAGGTTCGAGTTTATAGGCCACCCAATTACCTTGTAATAGTGGGCTAAACTATGAACCATTGAATTTTGTGTTTCATTAGTGTAGTCTCCTAACCTATTCCAATCATCTCCTAGAAGTGGGGATACCTAGTGTCTTAGCTACTTTTTCCTCATTGATGGGATGAAATACTCAACACCTAAGGAAGGAAAAGATTATTTAGTTCAGTTTATAAAGATTTTGGTCCATAATTGCCTGGCTCCAATGCAGAGCAAGAGAGAGTGGGGGGGGGGACCTATTTTGGCCTCTTATATTGGATGCAGACTACCCACCCAAGGATGGGTGTAGCACTCACATGCATCCCACCATTGAACAAGAATCACTTACAAATTCTAGAAGCCTGTTTCACAATAGCATGAGGTTTTTGGGGGACATCTAGATACAAACCAATCCTTGCCCTCTAAAGGCTTATATACATTCTCTTATGCAAAAGGCATTTAGTTCATCTTTAGGAACTGCCAAACTCCTAACAGTCCAAATCCAAAGTTTCCTCTGAGATTTAAGGCAAACTCCTAGCTGTGAGCCCTCATACAAATGAAAGTAAAGTTAAATATTTCCAGCATTCAGTGGCACAAGATAGACATTTCCATGCCAAAAGTTACAAATGGGGATGTAAATGAATGGGGCCAAAGCAAGTCCAAAATCCAGCAGGCCAAACATTAAGTCTATAACACTGTATGTAGCATGTGAGACAATCTGTGGCAAGTTTTCCTAAGATTGAGATTAAGAGCAGCATGCTAATTAATCATGCAGAATAAATTCTGAGGCACTCTAATGTTGAGGCTGTGGCATGCCTGCTCTTGGCATGGTTTAGCCAGACCAATGTTGAGAATCAAGAGCAAAGAGTACAGCAGAATGATTTAAAACATTGTTTGGCCAGAAAGGAAACTCCAGTAAAGCTGTGAGCTGCAAAGATAGAGTAGAGATTTTTTTAAAATGAGAAACATAATTTTTTAAAATTTTATTTTAAAGAGACTAAAACCAAACAAAATGAAACAAAATAAAGTCAATAAAAAACACAAGCGAGTGATGTAGAACTTCAAAACAAGGTAATAGGAAGTCAACAATGGCTACCATAATGACTCTTGTTATCTTCCAAATAGCTGCCCATTCCATCAGACATAATAAAATCAAACAAATAGAACATAATAAAAGCAATCAAAACAAAACAATGGAAAGGATACAGGACTTCAAAAAAAGATAAAAGGAAATCAACAATGGCTACCATAATATATCTTGTTATCTTCAAAATAACTACCCATACTATCAGATATAACAGAATTTAACAAAACAGAATAAAAGCAAACTAAATAATGAAAATGATACAGAACTTCAAAACAAGGTAATAAGAAATCAACAATGGCTACCCCTTTCCTTTCTTAGACATTTCTTCCCCTTTCACTTTCACAATATCTATTATATATTTTGAATTCCACTCTCTTTCAGTTTTTTATACTAGGCAAGCAATGTGATGTTCACCGAGGTGAATCCAAACCATTTCACTCATGAGCATGATCTCAAGTTGCACCCATTAACCTATGAGAGCCTCAAGGTTATTCTTCTTTATAGCTGAGTAGCTTTCCATTGTATAAAAATACCATATCTTTCCTACCCATTCTGTGGTTGATGGGCAAGCTACTCCTGCTTTTTTCTGGGTGGAGTATTGTCTTGTCTCCTCTGATCTTCAGTCCATGAATTCTCTTTCAAGTCAAATTTATTTCTTGTATATAGCATACTGATGGATACTGTCTCCTGATCCACTCTGCTTTTTATTGCTGAGTTGAGGCTATCTACATTAATATTTATGGCCAACATGCAATGGCTAATCTGTACCATGCTATCCTCCTGCTGTTGGTTCCCCACTTTCCCCTCCATTCAGTTGCCTGCCCTGCTTGGTGAACCCTGTCTGCTACTGTTCCTGGAACCATGATCATCTTTTCTCTCTCTCTAGAATATCCTTCAGCACTCTCTGTGGGTTGGTTTGGTGGTCATGAATTCCTTCAGCTGTTCTTTGTCATGAAAGTATCTTATTTCTCCATTAACTTTGAAAGATAGTTTAGCAGATTACATCAATCTGGGTTGGAAGTTTGTTTTCTTTCAGGACTTGAAGCACTTTACTCCAAGGTCTGCTTGACTTGATGGTTTGTGTTGAGAAGTCTGCTGTGATTCTGATGGAATTTTCTGTATAGGTGATATGTTTCTTTTCTCTATCACCCTTTAAAAGTCTGTTCTTGTGCTGAATTTCTGGGATCCTGATTATTACATGTTGGGTGTAGATTTATTTTGTTTATAGCTAGTTGGAGTTCTCTATTCCTCACTTATCTGTATGTCAGTTCCTTTTCTCGTGCTTAGGAAGTTTTCTGTTATTTAATTTCTGTAAACAGTCTTTTTGTGTCATTTTTGTTGACCCTTACTTTTTTGCTGTCACTTATTATCCTTAAATTGTTTTTCTTTGTATCATCTTGCATCAGTTGAATTGTTATTTCCTGGTTCCTTGTTATTTTCAAGAGATCTTTCCTTTCACGATCACAAGTTGCAAACTTGTCTTCAAGGTCTGAAAGTCTATCTTCATTTTCTTTCAAGCAGTTTTGCTAGCTTTCAATGAAATTTTAAAATTCCTGAGTACCTCTTTGAATGTTTCATGTCTTCTGGTTCTTTCCTGTATTGTTCATTTAAGGTTTCCATCATTTTTCAATGACTTTAAAAAAAAAAAGTCTATGCTTTTTAAAGATATACTCAGCATTTCTTTCATTATGCTTGTAATGTTGTTTTACCTGATATATTATTTATGATATGGTTACTTTTACAGCCTCATGAAGGTTGTCCCCCTCCCCCGACTTTGGTTGCTATTCTTTCAGAAATTTCAGGTGTGTGACTTCCAATTCTTGTTTATATGTCTCCTACACTTATTCTGTGTGGGCTGGAGGTCTGAGATTGTCTTTTGCTCCTTTGTCTTGACATTTTCCTGGGTTCTTCCAGAAGAGCCAGTTGTGGGGGTCCCAGATGCTCTCTATGTTGGTTGCCCATCCACAGTGTAGAGGAAAGGATCAGGGTTTCTCCTATCCTAGGTTCCCAAGGAAGTGGTGGGGTGTAGAGCTGGCTACTCCAGACATGCATAGCTACACCAAGGCTCTTCCAGTGCCAGCAGGTGTTCAGGAGCTTGCCTGCCTTGTTCTCCCCACAAGTGCTGGCTACTGGTTCCTGATAGTGGCTGGCAGGTTCATGGGGGCATCTATTTTCAGTTTCTTATCTGGTGTTTACAGTTCTGTGTTGCACCCCAGAGATGTGTTGGGTATGTACCTGATTGTGGCCTCTGGATGTGGGGGCTGAGACTTGTCTTTTGTCAGTGGAGTTCTCCAGAGTCCAACTGCTGTCTCCCTGCTGCTGTTTCAGATGCTTCCATGTTACTGGCCTCAATAATTACTTCAATATCCAGAAATATGTGTGCATCTGTTCACTAGGCAGTTACCCTGGGTCTTGGGATTCCATTAGTCACATACTCTTCCAGCTGACCTACCCTCCAGGATTTTATGAGGCCCAATCACAAACTGTATTCCAGCTGGTCCACCACCCAGGATGTAATGCAGGAGTGCAGAGCATGGATTCATGCTCTTCCAACTGGCCTGCCCTCTGAGATGCAATGGAGCACAGAGCATAGACTCACTGCCTCCCAGTCAGCCTATCCCCTGGGATGTAGTAGAGGGGCACAGAGTGAAGACTTACTCTCCTTCAGCTGGCCCACCCCCTAGGATGTAATGGAGGGGTGCAGAGCATGTACTCACTCAGCCAGTCCACTTTCCAGGATATAAGGGAAAAGTGCAGAGCATGGACTCACTGTCCTCCAGCTGGCCCACCTTCCGGGATGTAATCCAGAGATCTTGATTACTGAGAAGGAACAGGAGGATGGTAAAGATGCCCTGAGGGCATCACAAGAAGCAGCAGGACTCCACATTTTGCAGTCTCAAAATTGCAAAGTTGAAAGGCTTTGAGAAGACCCAGTGCCTTGTATTCTAGAATGGTGGTCAAATAATTTCTCAGAATTAGATTCAGAGTGCTTAGTGATCCCAGGACTTAACCTATTCAGCCAAGAGAGATGGAAGTCTGCCTACTGCTCTAGCTGGCAGCAAACCTTCGTATAATTCATATGGTGCTGGATCTAGATGCAGGTGGAATGCAAGAGTTGTGGGGTCAGGAAGCCTTTCACCCAGATTTTAAAGAGGTCTGAGAGGCTAGGCAATGTGCTTCAGAGAGGGCAGGGTGTGAAGCTGTGTGAAACTAAAGGTCCAGTGGAGCCCACAGAAGTTTGGAGAAGTTAGGAATGTGGATCATGAGGAAACCTGCAAAAGGGAACAGAGTGAACCCAAAAAGAAGCCATGGGAGGGACGACTTCTGGGAGAACATGGCGGATATATTACAGCAGCTATGGAGGCTCTCTGAGATAGCCAGCTTACAATCCAGGAATGAATTGTAAGGAGTGAGGAGTCCTAAGCAAGGGGAGATATACCCTGGTGACCCAGGAACGAACTAAGCTGAGAGAAACCAACTGGAAATGCAATCCCGGTGCTATAACCGGAACAGATAAAATCTCAGCACCTAAGCTGGAACCTGTGTGATTTGAATTTCCTGCCGCCACTGCTGCGTCTGAATCAGACTGGCAGGGACAGAGATGTGAAAGCTTTGAGAGTGGGAATCAGTGAACGGACTTGAGAGTGGGGCTGGTGGGGAGCCCTGCATCGACCTGCGGTAGTGAGAGGAATGAGGACCCCTCCATAGATAAGGAGGCTCCAACAGAGGACATTCTGGGACTGGGCAGACTAGCCAGAACAGAACGCTGCAGTGACTTTAGTCACATATTCCCCTCTCAAGCAGGATTGGTGGGGAGCACTTGGCCTGGGTGATGCTGCGGACTAAGATCCAGTAGGCTAGCCCAAACCAAGTCCCAGTGCCTGGTGGTGCACCCTAGCAGTGAAGCCTTCAGTAGGTTGACCTGGAGGGGCAGGGCCCAGCATAGGCTGCCCAGGTCTGTGTCTCCCTAGTACACTGCAGTGGGCGGGAACACCTAGCCGGCGGATTCAAACAAACTGTAACTGACAAAGAAAGAAACTGGGCCTCCTGTACACGCTTGTATGGAAGGAACAAAAAGTATGGGAAGAGGGAGCAACAAGAAAGGGTCCTCAGTCTCCAATCCTGAGAACACTGATCCAGGAAAGGGAAATGCAAAGGAGAATGAGGACATAAAACATGCAATATCAGACACGGCACCAATAGACATAAAGTGATATCTCCGGAGCCTCATAGATGAGTTCAAAAGTGAAGTATTTAACCAAGTAAAGCAAGATATAAGTAGAATAGTTAGAGAAATGCTAAGCACCGCCCATGAAAAAACAGATGGTGGAATGGAAGAACAAAACAAGGGAGAATTGTTTGATGGAGAAAATAGAGAAAACACAGAATACATGAAGCAGATTACCAGGAAACTAAAGAGATTACCAGGAAACTAAAAACTCTATTGAAAGCTGGCATAACTGCTTGAAAGAAACTAAGGATAGATTATCTGAACTGGAGGACAGATTTGTAATATGGGAGCATGAAAGGAAAAACTTCTTAAAAATAACAAGGAAACAAATAGCAATAATACAAAGGCTAGAAGATGATAAGAGAATCTATAATTTAAGAATTAAGAATGTAAAAGAAGAAGTAGGGACACAAACAAATGAACTACAAAGGCTATTCACAGAAATAATCCAGAATTTCCCTAATTTAGCAAAAGGTAAAGATACTCAGATGTATGAGGCATACAGGACCCCAGCCACCTACAACCCAAACAGAGCTACATCCAGGCATATAATAATCAAAATTACAGAAATCCAATATAAGAACAGAATATTAAAAGCCGTCAGAGACAAGAAACAGATCACTTACAAGGGAAACCCATCAGAATTACAGCAGACTTCTCGGCAAAAACCATCAAATCATGAAGAGCGTGGGGGGAAATAATTCAAGCTTTGAAAGATAATAACCTCCAGCCAAGATTGATATATCCTGCACAACTGTCCAGAAATTGATGGAAAAACAAGGTGCTTCCAGGATAAAGAGGAACTAGGGGAATTTATAACCACCAATTCAAAATCTACAGAGAATACTGCAGGACATTCTAAAAAAAAAATACCAAGGTTCCAGAAACAGTGTCAGAGAGGCCACAATGAAAGGAGCAGAAAGCAAAATGAAGAAGACAAACTGACAACTAATGACAGAAAAAGAGCTCAACAGAAATGAGGCAGAGAAGATTGCATGGTAGGAACAGCTATTTTGGAGAAAACAAGAAATCATAATACCTAGTGCTGATTTAATATCATCTTGTTTTGAAGTCCCATCAAGCTTTTGTTCTTCTGTCTCCATTGGTCTTAACATGTCATATCTTATTGGATTTTATTATATGTTATAAACAAAAACTTTTATAGACAGGGAAATTATACAGAAACCATTGTTCATGTTCTGTTACTTGATTCTAAATACCCTGTAATACTGTCATTCTCTTGAATGGTTTTACATTGTCTTGATATGTTTGATGTTACAGTATACAAAGTTATACTCAAAGATTTCAAGGAAAGAGACACTATGGTAACTACTTTTATGTCGGGATATCTTGTGGCGAAACACTATTTTGCTTAAATGGTTATGTTTTGACCTGTGCTGTTTTGTTGTTATGCCCTCTTTTATCTCAATCTCCTTTTTTTATTATTTACTTTTTTATTATCTTTTTAATTAAGGGAAAAATAAAAATATCAGGATATATTATAGTAACCCACTTTGACTTCCTATTAACTTGATTTGAAACCCTGTATTGATCTCACCATCTTGTTTTGACTGATTTTCCTCTATTCTGTTTTGCTTGATAGTACCAAGTTCAACAGTATAGGCAACAACTGTGAAGACAATAAGTTTCATTATGACGCCCATTCTGGTTGACTATTATCTTCTTTTGAAGTCCTGTAATGTCTCCAATGTTTTGGTTTTATTGGTTTTGTTTTTTACTGTTTTGTTCAATTTTATTAAAACTGATGATATAGGCAATTTCTTTAAAGATAGCAAGAGGCATTATGGTAACCACTGTTGATCATCTTGCATTTTTTTACATTATGTATTATGTCCATCCTTTTGATTTGACTGACTCTGTTTTGTTATGTCACATTTGGTTTTACTCTCTTCAAAAAAAAATAGTAAGAACTGTGGGAGTAATAAAACCCAAAATGTGTAATTGTCATTGTAAAAAAGAGAGGAAAAGAAAGTACTTAAAGGATATAACTGCATGTATATTTAAGCGTATAAGATAGAAAACCATATTACTGAGTTTTTGTTGCATCATTGAACAGAACTGTTTGCAGTCTCATTGTTTGAATGTCTACTTTATATGCTTTAATTTTGTAACTTGAACAACTATAGTAAGATGACAATATGTAATCTATTAACTAGTGATTTCCTACTGTTTATTTTTTCTGAAATTCTGTATAACTTGTACCCTTTTTCTGTTTTTTTTTTTCTTTTTCTCCTTAAATAAAAAAAAAAAAAAAAAAGAAGAAGCCATGGGAACTACAACCACCATAATTGTCATAGAGGCAGAGACACCCAAGTCCTTTGGAGTTCACAACTTGCAACAAATTGCAGGAATGCTGGACATGACAATATAGGACTTATCCTTGCTGCATTTTGGAGTTGCTTTGGTTGCATTTCTTTGTATTTCCCTGTTTGTACCTCTTAGAATAGTATTATGGTTGACACATTGTGCAGAAGTTTAGAAATTTAAGAGACTCAGCAGGAAGCCAGGATCCTTACTTTGTAAACATCAAGACTAGGGCGCAAGATGCTGTGACTGCTATACTCACCTTGGGGTGGGGAGGTGGTAGCCTGCTTACAATATAAGGGAAGAAAAGAGGCTTGTTCTTCCCCTTTTTTGCTCATCACTTTGCTATTTTTTGTTGTCTTTTAAGTGTCGCCCCTGTGTCACACCACCTTGCCTTGAAGCCAGCTGATTACCGACTGAAACCTCCAAAAACTGTGAGCTAAACAAAACTTTCCTTAATTGAACATTATGACAGACAAAAGCCCAAGAGTGAAAGGGAATCAGAAAAGAAAAATACTGAAACCTATGGAAGGGAAGCCCTTGTACTGAGCCCAAGACCCACAGGGCCCAAACAAACACCCTCGGTATATACAAACAGCTGCCTCAGTTAAGATCATGTTACCAAGTACTTCGTGGAGAACAGCAGTAATTCAGGTGGGTCAGGTCCACATCTCTTTGTCCCCTGCTCTGGGAGTCTATGCTAAAACACTTGTTTACTGGAACCCTTTTCTTCTCAGCTTGATTTAGCTCCATCCCTGTTGAAGTCTGTGTCACAGCCTCCAAAGTAGACTCTAAACACTATGTGGCCCAACAACAGAATATAAGCCCAACTGACTGGTAGGGATCCTCCTATCTCCTATAGGAACAGAAGTCTTTGCCTCACAACCTAGTCATTTCCACATGGGCAAGTCACTGCCCATCCCATAACCCACACAAGCATCTTAGTCACTTGTAAAAAGGAGATGAGAGGAAAAATGGAGTTACTCTTCTTTTTGGCTGGGTTGTCTGATTCTCACTGCTGCTGAGGTCTCTAGGTTGTCAGTCCCTTCGTTTTTTGTGAGGTCTCTTGGTTGTTGTCCAGTGAAGTCTCTTGACTGGCTTGCCACATGTTACAGGCAAACAGGCCAATAATAATCCAGATTCTTTTTTTTTTTATTTTTGTCTTTTTCTTTTTTATTGGTACCGGGAATCGAACTCACAACTGCCTGCTTGCAAGGCAGGTGCTTATGCCACTGAGCTAAATCCTCAGCCCCAATAATCCAGATTCTTGTATAGGTCAAGGAAGGAACTGCCAATCATACACCCAGTAGTAAGTAGGAAGTAGTTATATTTATTGAAAATCACCAGAAATTGTGCTTAGGGCCTGTCCTGCCAACAAAAGTATAACACAGACCAAGAAAGGTGCTAGGCAACAGCAATGAAAAAAGGCCTGTTAACTCAGGCTTTTAGAATTTAAAGGTCTGACACTTCTGCTAAAGCAGGGCAAAGCAGGTACTCCCCCTGGATCTCTAGGTATGACTGACTAAAATGATGACAGGATGCTGAGTCATCTTGGGGGTTCTTATTATACAAACTCATCCTAGAATTCATTGATCGTAATTATATTTATCAGATGTAGTATATATCTATGAACCTATAATGAGGTTGAAGTTGGGTAAAAGTAAACATAAGATCAGGTTAGGACAGTGATGGTGAACCTTTTAGTTTACCTTTTAGCTTTCAATGGTAACAAACATTCCCCCGTAGCATGTAGGTTTGTCATCACTGGGCTAGGAGATGTGGTCTTACTTACAGTATAGATAATCTCCTATGCTTCTGCTAATTTTCTAACTTTCTTAGGACAATGGAATCAGAATGGAGACAAGGGAGTGACTCACTCAATTCCATTGTTTCTAACTGTACCACTATCTCCCCAAACTCTGAGAAGGCCCAAGACAGTGTGAGGTCTTACCTACTGCCCATCATCCTGTGCTGGGAAAGGTGAGCCTCTCCTAAGCTTCAGCACTGCATCAAGTTCCGTAGGAAACTGGGAGAGTGGAGCTATTCAGACAGAGGTAGAGGACTCTAGGCAGAGGGACAGAAAGCAGCACCTGGGCCAAAGGTCTTCTGGTAATATACAAGGCAAGGGAAGCCTGTGAAGGGAAGACAAGAGATGACCATAGGATTTGCCAGACAGTGAAGAGAGTGGGACTGGGAGAGGTCTGGCAGAAGTCAACAGAAATCCAGGTATTGGGCAAAGTATACCACATCTGATTCTTCTCAAATCCATTGAGAGAACTGGATCATGGGATGCTGATAGAGGCCTGACTTGGCCATGCCTAGAGCATCGTTTGCAGGCAGGAGGCACATCCAGAGTTCCAGACAGTTCTCACTGCTTCTAGCCAGGCAAGTGCAATGTCCACAGAGGGAAATGCTTGGCTATTCACAGTCACACTGTGACTCTATATAAAAAGAGCTGTGTGGATGTTCCAGGTTAATGCTACATCAGAGCTGTAAAAGTTTGTTCATTGTTTGTTACTTAGCTTGTTTGTTCTGGGGTTTCCAGTTTTTATTATGTTTTTCTGGTTCTTGCTTCTGTATTAGCATTCTGAAAATTTTATTTTTTAAGGTTTCCTTTGTTCTGTTCTTTTGGTCTTTCTCCTCCTTATTTTTGACTATTTCCTCATCCTTTTTCATCTCCTCCACATTTTCTTGCCTTTTCTTCCCTCTTTTCCTCTCCACTTTTTTTTTTAAAAATGGAATATATACTACAGGTGCCTGTACACAGTATTAGTCAAAAAATATATACACATTTCAGAAAAAGAAAAATAATATGTTTTTTCAATAGATGGTATGGGCTATTGTATATCATAGAAAACCTACTACATTGCTAGCCCTTAGAGAAGAAATTGAAAATGTATGTGTAGCAATCTCAATAACCAAGGTTACCAAGCAGCAGTTTTCCATACTAATAAATGTCTCAAAGCTAATGCTCACCATTTTGAGCACCTCTTCTAATTGTAGAGGCCAAAGGTAACTTGTATTAATCTCATAATATTTCAATAAATTTAGTTTTAAAATATTTACACAAGTTTTTCTTTTCCTGAAATGTGTGTAAATTTTTTTTTTTGGTGGATTCTGCACTTGCAAAAGAGAATAAGAATTAACCAATGCTTTAATGTAAATTGTACTATTTAAAGAGCATGTCAGGGTAACCCTCAACAAACTGTGTTTAGAGGATTCACACATAAATTAACTACAAATATATTAACAGGTTTTGACAATCTCACAGACTCCTTCAATCTCTACATTTCCACTGCTCTAAATCTCTCCTCCTACCTCCACAAATATTTTCTCAAACTCCCTTAACATTAGCCCTTTACTCCAGCTATGAAAATAATTCCAACAGTCCCACTTTATATCTATTTTTCACCTATTGGCATTTCTCTTACCTTCCTCCCTTTGTACTGACTTACTCCCTTCTTTTTACTTTTCCTTTTGCTTTCCTCATCTTCCACATCCTAGACTAACCACAAATAGTAGTATAACAGTCAGCAATGGGAATTGAAAAAACGATGGAATTATCAGGATGATTTTGTCTTTCTGAGACAGGGTCTTGCTATGCAGTGGCCTTGAGCTCACTTTATCAAGACAAATTTAATGTTCATGATTGTCAAATGGTTTGATCTGTTGAAAATGTTATAATCAATAGAAGTTCTCTGTACAATATAGTGACTACATCCAACCCAATTACACTAGATGAGTTGAAGTAGCAGACAATGCCTCTTGACCAATAAAGCCAAGATCCTACCACTAGAAAACAAAACCTATTTTAAAAAATCTTCATACCAACAATAAAGTTCCTTCATGCTATTTGACCTTAACCCTCAGCATGGTGTACACACACACATACATACACACACAGACACACACAGAAACATGAAAAAACAAGGCAACAAAATGTCTCTTGAAACACTCAACTCTCCCAAAGTAGATCTAATGGGCACTAATGGAGAAGAACTCAAGCATCAAATGGCTGAATTGCACAAAATGATCAACAGAGAGCAAAGAAATTTAGCAAGCTGAAAGATGATATAACAAAATGGGTAGTGAAATTTATAAACAAACTGACCAATGTGTTTAAAGAAGAGGCACATGAAACATTAGAAAAGCAGAAGTCATTTAAAATATTAATGACAAATCTACAAAAAAAAAAAAAAAAAACAGTCCATGAAAAGGTGTCAAGCAGAAATTCCACAGATAAAGGATTTCATTCAATATGTGAACAGTAGAAGCAACCAATGTGAGGAAACAGCGTTGGATCTGGAAGACAATTATGCACAAGATGATATACTCAGAGACATCTTAAAACAGTAAGATATATGAGAAAGATTAATCTAAGATTAACTGGAATTAGGGAGACATCAGAGGATAGTATGCTTAGAATAAAAATGTCTATAGAAGTAGTAGCAGAAAATTTTCCAACTGTAGGGAATGAACTGAACATACAGGTAAGCAAGGCATAAAGAACCCCAAATCATTACAACGAGAGAAGAAACTCCTGGTAACATATGATAGTCAGAATTACAAAGATCCAACGTAAGGACAAAGGTTAAAAGCTCTCCAAGAAAAGCAAAAAATCACTTATAAAAGTGAAGCATTTGGATTACAGAAGACTTCTAAACACAAACTTTAAAAGACTAGGAGAGTGTGAAGTGTTTTAAGCCCTAAAAGAACATGACTTCAATCCAGACTAATATAACCTGTTAAATTATATTTCAAAATTGATGGAGAAATAAGGACCTCCTATGATGAAGAACACCTTAAGAAATTCATGACCACCAAACAGCACTCCAAAAAACTCTCAAGTCTATAAGATAATGAAGCCAATGACACCAAAAGTCTGACAGAATGAATAAATCAAACAGAGTAAGCAGCTAAACAAAAACAAACAAAAATGAACAAAAAACAGAAAAAAAGTAATCAACAGGCAAATAATTTTATATATATATATATATATATATATATAAATATATAAAACTGGCATATCTGACTTCATAAATCAAACACCATTGGACATAAAAAAATCAAATACATATCAACACAATCAGAGTGGGAGATCTCAATATCCCACTTCACAAATAGATCAACTAGACAAAAAAATCAACAAGAAATATCAGAGTTTGACCACATCATCAAATAACAGACTTAACAGATATCTATAGCATGTTCCACCCCGCCCAATAGAATACAGTCTTCTCAGCAGCACAAGAAATTTTCCCCCAAAATAGACCATATATAAGTCTATAAAGTTTGCTTAAACAAACACAAAAGATTCAAAATTATCACCTGTATACTATCTGAAAAAAAGAAATCAAAAGCAAAAGAAACCAGAGAAATTTTTGTAAACATATAAAGATTAAATAACATGCTCCTGACTATTTGGGCAAGTGTTTTGTTTTGTTGTAGTGGAGACTGGAGACTCAACCGAGAACTTCACATTTGCTGTATAAATGCTCTACTACTGAGCTAAGTCCTCAGTCTTGTTTTGTTTTGTTTGTACCAGGGATTGAAGCCACAGCCTTGCACTTGCCAGGCAGGTACTTATGCCACTGAGCTAAATCCCCAGCTACGCTCCTAACTATTGAAGGAAGAAATTAAATAATCCCTGGAATCAAATGATAATGTCAGTATACATATTGGACCTTATGTGACATAATGAGAACAGTCCTAAGAGAGAAGTTTATATGAATGCTTATATTAGAAAAATAAAGTAAGACCAAACAGATAATGAGACCTCAGGTCCTAGAAAAACAAGAACATCTAAATCCAAAACTAGTAGTGTGGGGTCAGGGATATAGCTCAGAGACACAAGTGCCTCCCTGGCAAGCACAAGGTCCTGAGTTTGACTCCTGGTGCAAAACAAAAACAAACAAACCCACAAGATCAAAAACAAACAAAAACCCACAAAAGAAAAAAAAAGAAATACAATAAAACAAAGTCATAAGAAAGTCATAAAGAACAAAAAAAGAAAGTCATAAAGATCAGAGCAGAAAATTAATGACACTGAGATGAAATACAAAGAATTAAGGAGTTGAAGAGCTCACTTTTGAAAGAATAAACAAAATAGATAAACCCTTAGTCAATCTTAGCAGAAGGAAAGACCCGTATCAATGAAAAAGGCAAAAACAAAATGAACACTGTTGAAATCCAGAAGATTATTAGTAAATAGTATTAAATCTTGTGATCCAACAAATGGAGGAACCTAGAATAAATGTGCAGATTCTTAGACATATATAAATTACCAAAGCTGAACCAAAAAAGGTGTAAAAACTTGTTCAATAACAGGTAATGAAATTTAGGCAGTAACAGTAAATCTATCAACTAAGAACAAGAAAAGTCCAGGACCTTATGGACAAACTGTTAAACTCTATAAAAACTTCAGGGAAAAATCCAGTGTTAATATTCCTTATTGTATAATGAAAGTGAAAGGGAAGGAGTATGTACAAACTCATTCCTGGAATTAGCATTACACTAATTCCAACATCAGACAAGGACCCAAAGAAAAAAGGAAACTATAGGCCAATTTCTTTAATGAACACAGACACAATAATCCTTAATAAAATACTGGCAAACAGAATGTAGCAAATCATGAGAAAGATCATACATCATGATCAAGTACGCTTCATCCAAGGAATGCAAGGATAGTTTGATATATACAAACCCATACATGCAATACATCACATAAACAGATAACAATTTCATGGTCATCTCAACAGATACAGAAAAAGTCTTTGACAAAATCCAATATCCATTCATGATAAAAACCCTGAAGAAAATAGGTTTATTTCAATCTGATAAAAGCCATTTATGACAAACCCACTGCCAACATCCAATTAAATGGGGAAGAGCAAAAAATTTTCCCTTTAAAATCAACAACAAGATAAGATTGTTCACTATCATCATTTCTGTTCAATATAGTATTCAAGATAGTACAGAGCAATCAGGCAAGAGAAAGAAATAAAAGGAATATGTAAAGGAAAGCAAGAAGTAAGATTATCACTATTTATATTCAAAAAATTTTACCAAAAACACCTAGAACTAATAAATCCAGCAATTAGCAAGATATAAAAATCTACAAACGAAAATCAATTGCATTCTTATACACCAATTAACCTAGCAAGCAAGGAATTAGGAAAACAATACTATTCACAATAGCATCAAGAAAAATTAAATACTTAGAAAGTAACCTAACCAAGGAAGTAAAAGACATGCATAACAAAAATTATACTACACTGAAAAGGAAATCTAGGGAGACATCAGAAAATGGAAAGATACCTCTAGTTCCTTAGAAAGGTAGAACTAATATTTTCAAAATGGCCACACTACTAAAACCAAAATCTCTATTCCTGTGTCTCTCTGTCTCTCTCTCTGTATCTCTGTCCTTTCTTTCTCTCTCTCTCAATAAATTTGAGTCATTTGAAGTAAAATGGATGTGTCTTGAGACCATAACATTAACTGAAACAAATCAGGCACTTAAGCTTAAGTATTGTGTAACTTTTCTTATATGGAAAACCCAACGTATAAATAATTTAAAGAGCAAAAGTAAAGACAGACAATAGAAGAAGATAGCTTTTTTATAAATGAGGAGACTTTGAGATGAAGGTGGGTGGAGAGGAGAAGGGGAATAAAAAGAACTGAGTGGTGTTATGTACCTTTCCTTTCTCCTTACAATAAACATAATAACTATGTACCACAAACATGAACTAATAAAAAATTTTAAAACCTATAATTGTTAAAAAAAATAAAATTCTACAGATGGCGAGAAAATATTTCTAAGTCACACATCTGTAAAGGAATTCATACATAAAATGGACAGAGAATTCCTAAAACTCAACAACAAACCAACCTAATTCTAAAGTGGACAGGAGAATGTGGCAATACATGCTTGTGATCTCAAGAGTGAGACAGTCAGTTTTGTTATTGTAACAAATACCCGAGACAGTCAATTTATAGAGAAAAAAGGTTTAATTTGGCTGTTTTGGAGGTTTCAGTCATGACTAGTCGTCCTCATAGATGCTCTGTGGTGGCAAGTGGCAGGAATATGTGGTGGAGCAAAACCACTCCTCATGAACAGGAAGTAAGGAGGAAGAGCCCAAGGCCCCATAATCCCCTTCAAATGTGTATTCCCAATGGCTGAAAGATCCTCTAGTCCCCCAAGTTTCCAATACTTTCCAATAGTTTCAAGCTGAGGAACAAGCCTTTGACATGTGCATCTTTGTGGAATATTCCAAACAGAAACTATGCTGCAGTGAACCAACCTTTGACAGAGAGTAAAGCAAATCAATAGAGAAAGGATCACTTTTCAACAAATGCTACTGAAGAACTGGAACCAACACACACACAAAAGTCTAGACATAGACCTCATACTTTGTACAAAAACCAACTCAAAATGGGTCATATACTTAAGTATGAAACTAAAAATTATAAAATTACTATGAAGTAACAGGAAAAAATAGGTGGCCTCAGGTTGGATGAGGAAATCAAAAGCAGGATACATAAAGAAAAGAACTATTAAGTTGAACTTCACTAAAATTAAAATCTTTGTTCTGCAAAGTCTGTTACACACAGGATAGGACCTGCAAATCAAATACTTGATAAGGGGCTGTGGTTTCGAAAATATACAATGAGCTGTGAAAATTCAACAATAATCCAATTAAAAATGAGTCAACAGGCATCCTCTAAAAGATGATATATGATTAGCAAATGAACATGTAAAAAAATGCTCAAAATCATGTCATTAGGAAATGGCAAATTAAAATGACAATATGGCACCATTGCACATTTATTAGAATAGTTAAAGTCCAAAATACTGACAACAGCAAATACTAACACAAATATAGAACAATGGAAACTATCATTCATTGTTGGTGAAAATGCAAAATGGTACAGCCACCCTGGAAGAAAGTTGGCAATTTTTTAATAAAAACAGCAGTCCTGGGCTGAGGATTTAGCTCAGTGGCACAAGTGCCTGCTTGGCAAATGCGAGCTTGTGAGTTTGATCCCTGGTACTAAAATGAAAAACAAATAAAAAAATAAAAAGCAGCAGTCTTGAGGTATGAACCAGAAATCATGCTGCTTGTTATTTATACAAAGGGGTTGAAAACTTGCATCTAGACAAAAACTTGAGCAAAGATGTTTATAGTGACTTTATTCACAATTGCTAAAACATGGAAGCAACTCATTACATTTTTCAGCAGGTGAATGGGTAAATAAACTGTTAAATCCAGACAACAGAATGTTATCAGCACTAAAAACAAATGAACTATCAAGCCATGAAAACACATGGATGAACCTAAAAGGCATATTGCTAAGTAAAAAAAAACAATATATAAAGGCCACTGTGGAAGATCACCAAGTTGCACTCCCCTGAAAAATGAAGCCCCTTTTCCCCATCTTTCCCTGACCTCTCCTTCAACTCTGTTAACTGAGATATGCAAGATGGCTAAACAGATGTTCCCTTAATTGGACAAAAGACTATTACTAAGTCTGACCAAGGCTTGGCGAGTCTCATCAATAGGAAAACGGCAACACGCAGGTGAGAATTGCTCCTATGCTTATGGCTCTAATGGAGGCTTGAGCAAGAGCCTGTGAGATTCCAAGGCTAAGACAAGAGGTAACATCTCAGCTGAGGCCACAGGATTCACAAAAGATTATACCTTCCTGGCATTAAAGGTACCAGCCTTGCATAAATCAAGCTATCTGTTGCACTGCCAATTGGAGAACCTCTGTGCCTGGTACAAAAGTGCTGTGTTTGTCCTTACTGCTGAAGCCTGTGAAGTTTCTCTTCCCTGGCACTCTGCAGTGACCACCACTCACCTCCTTGATTGATACCAATAAAAGCTATGAGCTTTTGGACTTGTGGCCTTTTTCGTTCCACAGAGAACACTGGCCATCTCACACAGCTCCTCATCTGCAGAACTTTCTTTGTCTTTATTTTTTTTTTTTTTTTTGTCTTTTTCATTTTTATCGGTACCAGGAATCGAACTCACGACTGCCTGCTTGCAAGGCAGGCACTTATGCTGCTGAGCTAAATCCCCAGCCCCTTGTCTTTATTTTGAATCTTTGTGCAAATCAAATCCTTCACAGGGGTTTTGATAGGCTACATAGTATATGATTCCAACTATATAACATTCTGGAAAAGACAAAATAATGAAGACAGTAATGATCAGTGGTTACCAGGAGTTCAAAGGAGGGATGGATGAACAGAAGGAACACAGAAAGGGTTTAAGGCAGTGAAACTATTCCATATGATACTGCAAAGGTAGACACATGCCATTAAACATAAATCTATAGAACATACATTACACTGAATATTTGTGTAAATTATAACTAATTGCAACAGGTCACCATTCTAATTGGAAGGTTAGTAACAGAAGAAACTGTAAAAGGGGTACAGTTGGGTGTATGACAACTATATTTAAAAAATTTTTGTTTACCTAAAATTGCTCTAAAATAAAATCTATTTAAAAAGACAATGGCAAAGATAAAATGGAATAGTGAATAACTTGTAAGGTAATCCAAAGAAGGCAAAAAGGAGAAATGGGAAGGACAGTGTCAAAAAATGAAACAAGGGGCTGGGGATTTAGCTCAGCGGCATAAGCGCCTGCCTTGGAAGCAGGCAGTCGTGAGTTCGATCCCTGGTACCAATAAAAAGGAAAAAGACCAGAAAAAAAAAAAAAAAAAAGCAAGCAGAAAGATGGCAGCCCTAAATCCATTCAAATGAATAAGTATATTAAATATAAAGAGATTAAATAATTTAAAAGGCAAGCATGCTCAGACTGGCAAAAATAGAACCCAAGTAAAAAAAATACAAAGAACCATAAATTTATAGTATAGAATGAAATTGAGTAAAAATACATCATATAAGCACTTAGCATAAGACTAGAATGACTATTAATATCTGACAAAATTCTAAGTTAGCAATACTACCAGAGACACAGAAGAATATTTCATAGACATAGAAAGTTAATATACCAGGGAGATATGACAAATATCAGTATGTTAATAGATTTTTAAATTACTTGAAGTCAAAACTTGTTTAAGAAGCAAGTGCAGAAATTCACAATTATAGGAAGTCTTGGAAACCATCTTTCAGTAGTGATAGAATAAGCAGTAAAAAACCCCACAACAGTAAGAATATAGAAAAACCTCATGACACCGACTATTTTGGCTTCATTGACAGGTATAAGACACTATACCAAGCAACTATTAAATCTATGTTTTTCCAACTGCATATGGACTATTCATCAAGACAGATCAAATTCTGCCATAAAAGTAGTAAGGCAATACATCAAAATGCATACTAAAAATGCAATACATAAAGTCCATAAAAGTGTGGAGAAATATGTATATGATGGTATATTTTGAAAGATATTTGGTCTTGTGTAGTTTCTTTGATCTATCTTGTAGAATCCTTAGAATTTCCTTAGTGTTGGGACTGTCTTTTATTTCAAGCCCTCTGATCACACCTGAACCTGTGCTAAGATGACTTATGATGGAGTTCCTAGATGGCCTGAGGAGAGTCCTTGTGGAAAAGACCAGCAGTTTGGAGGGCTGGAGCTTTAAGTCCTGCACCCTGGCCTCAGGGAAGAGCTAGAATTCACCCTCCACAAAAGCTATAGTAATTACAGCGCTGGGGGAAGACATCCCAGAGAGGACATGGAAGGTCCACAGCCTCATATTCAGATATGAAAATGAGACTGGAGAGCAAGGCCTCATGCTCCCTTAGATGTACTTTTATTTTTCTTTGCAGGTTGTCTCCAATGCCTCTGCTTTGGCTGTAGCAAGCTTCTGGCACAGACCTACTTCATATGATTCTGTCTCTTTGCAGTCACCCTTAGGTCTTTCAGGGGGTCTGGGGCCTATTCAGGACCAAATAGAAAGTCTGACATTGTGCATATAAGAGCCTGTCTTTTTTCCTTTATAAATAATTTGTCATACTCTTAGCAGGTTTAGTCTGTGCACCATTCTTTAGGCTGCAGCATTAAGTCCAAAAAAAGCGTTTTCCACAGGAGATATATATATATATATACATATAAATTTTTTTGGCCTATTTTGATTTCTCTCTCACATAGAGCATTTTGAACAGGTATACTAAGAGCTGGTAATGCCAAAGGTGGATAGTGCTGAAAGCTGCCAGCAGCCAAGGCTGGTGATATCAGAGGTGGCTGGTAGCAAAGGATGATGAAGAATAATATGGAGAATTGCCAGCAAATGCCCGTTCTAGTAATGTGAAGAGTCCTGTTAGTAGCTGCTTGCTCTAAGAAGCAAAGGTATTGAAAATTCAAAGAGTGATTAGTGCTATCATTAAAGAACCAGGGCTATTAACTCTAGAAGGGCTATACTTTGCCAATTTGTGATTTCTGTATGGCTTGAGAACTCTCAGTTGATTTGTAACATCTTAGAAACCAGTACAGGACCCTTTCCCCTTTAGAGGACTCAAAAGATGAAGGTGGATGGCAGTGCCTGTCATCAGCAGGCTCAAGAATGAGCCCATATCTTGATTTCCAACTATGTAGAGCTAAGAATTCTCGGCCAGTGACAGAAACTTCACCTTTCCTAGAGGAGGCACAGAAGCTCTGCACCCTCTCTGTATCCATCTCTACCATGGACTGGTTATTTCTTTTATATCTTTTATAAAGAACCAATAGATGCAAATGGAGTATTCTTCCAGGTTATCATGCTAGCAAATCACTGATTCCAAGGAGGGAGGTTATTTGTAGCACGCAGAAAAACTCAGGTCACACTGCAGGGCTGCACTTGGAGCCGGAGGTGGGAACAGTCTTATGAGACTGAGCTACCAATCTGAAGGGTCACAGCCTAGTCTTGGGTAAGTAATGTTGATCAATCTAAACTCAGAAACTGCTGGTATACATAGAACTTTCAGGAAACACAGGTGCAGGTCTCTGAATCTATCCTGTGAGGAAGACGAGAAATAGGGAAGTTTATGCAGGCTGTTGAAGATTGGAAAGGCAGGCACAGTGCCTGCCATCAGAAGACAGGGCAAAGAATGTACTGACAGAGTGGAAATGGCCACAGCAAGAGACTAGTTATTTCTTAGTACAGTCTGTGAACCATTAGACACAATGTAGTTGGTTGTCCTGCTGCTCTCCATGCCTGCAGTCCTAGGGCAGAGGAAGCACTTCTCATATTCCAGGCTACAGCTGAATGGAGAGTTCTGTGCTCCATGGTCTCAGTCTCTTTAAAAGCTGCCTTCATTTTAGTTTTTCTTTTGTTTTCACAATATTGTCAGACTTGAAGTGAGTTATAAAATACCCAGTTGGTGTCTGCTGGGAAGTGACTTGATGTGTGAGGAGGTTCCCATCCATCTGGTCAGAATGTGCTGCACTCTGAGAGTATGAAGAAAGTTTCATCTCCTTCAGTTAGGAAAAATACTGTACATGGCTTTAAATGATCATATTTGTGGGAAAGGATTTAAAGTACACTTATTTTTAAATCTTTTTTTATTTCATTATTATTATTGTTTTTTGGTATTGGGAATTGAACTCAGAATCTCACACTTGCCAGGCAGGTGCTGTGCTTCTGAGTTATATTCCTGGCCTAATGAACCTAAATTTCTATTTTAACAAAGTAGAAAAAACAAATCAAAGGAGAAAATAGAAATAAGGCTAATAATAGAAATAAATAAGAGAAAAAAACAGTAGAGGAAAAATTGATTCTTAGATTAACTCCTGGCAAAAGTAATAGAAATGATGGTGGGGGGGGTACACAGGGCAACAAGAGACAGAGACAGAGATAGAGGCTAAAGGTGACTGAGAAAGAAGCAATGATCGAGAAACAAAGAGAGGCAAAACAGGTTTAGACACCATAATGGGGGGGGAAAGAAAGGGTATCATTACAGATTCACCAGGAATTATCAAAAAGATAATGTGGGGATATTATGTCCAAATTTGTGTCAAATTGGATTAAATAAAAAAATATAATTTAGGAAATACCATTTACCAAGACTGACACCAGTCAAAGTAGAAAACCATTTTAATTTTAGGATAGGGATGTAGCTCATGGTAGAGTGCTTGACTAGCAAGGAGGAGGCCCTGGGTTGAATTCTCAGAAAAAAAAAGCAAACAAAACCTTTTTTTTAAATTTTAAGAAAGGAGCTCACTCACTATTTCAGGCTCACTTTGAGTTTGTGATCTTCCTACTTCAGTGTCTTGAGTAGCTGGCATTACAGGTCCGTGTGACTGCACCCTGCTGGAACTCTTACTACAGTAGTATCAAATGGTAAGTTTTGTAATGCAAAGCTTCCCCACAAAGAAAACTTCAGGTCCTAATGGTGTTACTAGAAAATTCTATAAAATATTTATGGAAAAAATAAAATGTATTTAAAACCTTTCAGAACATATAGGAGGGGATGCTTTCCCACCTTCTATGAGGTCTTCTTAGGAATAGAAGACAAGACAGGTGTGTCAGGCAGCTGCCACTGTGAGAAAATGCCTAAGATCATCAATTTAACATGAGGAAAGGTTTGCTTTGGCTCAGTTTGGCTGAGTTTCCTGGGTTTCATTCCATGGTTGGTTCCCTGTTTGGGGCTGTGGTGACACAGTACATCATGGCAGGGACAAAGCACATGACTGAGGAGCTGCTTACTTCATGGTAGTTAGGAAGTAAAGAGAGAGGGGGATGGGCTGAGGTCCTACTGAAGGGCACGTCCCCAGTGACCTGACCTTCTTCCTCTAGTCTCCACCTCTTAATACCACAGACTGGGAGCCAAACCTTAACAAGTGGCCTTTGGGGACATTCAGGATCCAAACTATAACAACAAGAAAGTAATAGATCAATATCCATCATGAATATGTAAAAATTCTTAACTAAATTCAGTGGCATCTTGATTTATGAACTTAATTTATTATATGATTTTGGGGAAGATAGCTACATTTATGTTGGTGTGGGGAAGATGGCTGTGGTTGTGTTTGTAAGCCAAAGTGGAGCTTTCAAACAGAAGCAAAATTTTGCTAAAGGTTTTTGTTTGTGAAGTAAATTGTTTGCAAACAGAAGCATTTGTGAACCAAGGCATTGCTGTATTAACAAATTGAATCCATCAGTATTTAAAATGGCAACATGTCACAACCACATGAAGTTTATTCCAGGAAATTAAGGCCATTTTAAAATTTTAAAAAGTTACCATCATATTGAAAAAGTTCTGAAATGTCCTAAATTTAATTAAGAGTAAGAGTCAGGCAAGATGAGAGGAGGTTAATTGTGAACAAGCCAGGGGTAAGTATAAAAGACCATTTCATATTCTTGGATATATGTTACAACTTTGATTCAAAGCACATCCTGACATCTCAGATTCATGAAATCCTATTCCATCCCACCCAATCCAGAACAGCAGGTATTTCCCTATGGATTACTTGCTGACTCTGCTTCATAGTTCTGTTCCTCTTACCTATAGCCAATATGGGATGAATGGAAACAACTAATACCTGCATTCCCAAATTTTTATTATAAAAATGCTTTCATCTCTGGTCTAGCAACCATCTGACTGCCTGACTGGGAGCTATGTGGACTTCCCAAGATTTGGCCCTTGTTCTGGCTAACATCTTTTTTTTTTTTTTTTAAATTTTTATTTTGAAGAGAATAAAACCAAATGAAATAAAACAGAATAGAGTCAATGAAAATAAAATAACAAACATGGTACAGGAGTTTACAACAACATAAAAAGCAATCAATAATGGCTACCATATTACCTCTTGTTATCTTCAAAATAACTGCCCATGCCATCAGGCATAATAAAATAAAACAAAACAAAACAGAATAAAACCAATCAAAACAAAACAAAATAAAAGCAACGCAGGACTTCAAAACAAGACTACAGGAAAACAACAGTGGCTACCATAATGTCTCTTTGTTATCTTCAAAGGAGCAGTCTATAGCATCAAAATAATACAACCAAACAAAACAAAATAGAATAAAATCAAAACAAAACAATGAAAGCAGCACAGATCTTTGAAATAATAGGAAATCAATAATGGCTACCATAATATGTTTTGTTATCACTGAAATAGCTGTCCATGGCATCAAATATAATAAAATCAAACGAAACAGAATAAAAGCAAACTAAACAGAACAATGAAAACAATACAGGGTTTCAAAACATGATACTAGATTCATGATGGTTACTTCTTTCTCTTTTCTTTTTTAAATTAATTTTTTGTATCAGGAATCAAACTCATAACCTTGTGCTTGCCAGGCAGGTGCTTATGTCACTAAGCTAAATCCCTTGCCCTTGTCTTCTCTTTTTAGACATTTCTTCCCCTTTCACTTTCACAGTATCTATTATACATTTTGAATCCCACACTCTTTCAGTTTTTTATACTAGGGAGGCAACATGATGTTTACCCAGGTGAATCCAAACCATTTCACTCATGAGCATGATCTCAAGTTGCATCCATTAACCTATGAGAGCCTCAAGGTTATTCTTCTTTATAGCTTCTTTCCATTTTATAAAAATACCGTATCTTTCCTACCCATTCTGTGGTTGATGGGCAAGCTACTCCTGCTTTTTTCTGGGTCCCTGGCATGTGGAATATTGTCTCCTCTGATCTTCAGTCCATGAATTCTTTCAAGTCAAATGTATTTCTTGTATATAGCATATTGATGGATACTGTCTCCTGATCTACTCTGCTTTTTATTGCTGGGTTGAGGCTATCTACATTAATATTTATGGCCAATAAGCACTAGCTAATCTGTACCATGCTATCCTCCTGCCGCTGGTTCCCCATTTTCCCCCTCCATTCAATTGCCTGCACTGCTTGGTGAACCCTCTCTGCTACTGTTCCTGGAACCATGATCATCTTTTCTCTCTCTCTCTAGAATATCCTTCAGCACTCTCTGTGGGTTGGTTTGGTGGTCATGAATTCCTTCAGCTGTTCTTTGTCATGAAAGTATCTTATTTCTCCATTAACTTTGAAAGATAGTTTAGCAGGTTACATCAATCTGGGTTGGAAGTTTGTTTTCTTTCAGGACTTGAAGCACTTCACTCCAGGTCTGCTTGACTTGATGGTTTGTGTTGAGAAGTCTGCTGTGATTCTGATGGAATTCTCTGTATAGGTGATATGTTTCTTTTCTTTATCACCCTTTAAAAGTCTGTTCTTGTGCTGAATTTCTGGGATCCTGATTATTACATGTTAGGTGTAGATTTATTTTGGTTATAGCTAGTTGGAGTTCTCTATGCCTCACTTATCTGTATGTCAGTTCCTTTTCCCATGCTTGGGAAGTTTTCTGTTATAGTCTTTTTTCTGTAAATAGACTATTTTCTGTAAATAGTCTTTTTGTGTCATTTTTGTTGACCCTTATTATCCTTAAATTATTTTTCTTTGTATCATCTTACATCTGTTGAATTGTTATTTCCTGGTTCTTTGTTATTTTTAAGAGATCTTTCCTTTCATGATCACAAGCTGCAATCCTGTCTTCAAGGTCTGAAAGTCTAACTTCATTTTCTTTCAAGCAGTTTTGTTAACTTTCAATGAAATTTTAAAATTCATTTTCTTTCAAGCACTTTTGCTAGCTTTCAATGAAATTTTAAAATTCATTTTCTTTCAAGCAGTTTTGCTAGCGTTCAATGAAATTTTAAAATTCCTGGGTACCTCTTTGAATGTTTCATGTCTTGTAGTTCTTTCCTGTATTGTTCATTTAAGGTTTCCATCATTTTCTATGCTCATCTATTTTTTTTATCTATGTCTTTTTTAGAAGTGCTTAGCAATTCTTTTATTGCTTTTCATTTCTTATGTTACCTGAGATAGTATTTCTGTTCTCTACTTGGGTTGGAGGCCAGAGACTGCCTTTTGCTTCTTCATCTTGACATTTTCTTGGGTTCTTCTGGACAAGCAAGTAGTGGGGTCCCAGGCACTTTCCACATTAGCTATAATTTTTCCTAAGCATGACTGATTCTCCTGGTCAGTGCTGGCTACCAGTATCTGACAGTGGCCACTGGGTGCACTAGTATGGGACTGGCTACTGTTTTTTCCAGCCTGCACTGGCTACCAGTGGTGGAAAGCCTCTCTGGTAGCAGCTGGCATTTGTATAGTGGTGGGGCTGGCCTCTGCCTCCAGATCTGAGCTGGTTATAGCCTGGCTCACATCTTTAACAGTTTGAAACATTCTTTTATGTTACAGAACCTTTGGTATCAATATATTTAACAATATTAATAAAGAAGAAATGTCATGTCATCAACTTAACAGATACAGAAAAAAGTTGACAAAAGTAAATACCGGCTTATGATAAAAAACAAACTGAAAATCAGCAAACTACGACAAGAGACTTTCTCATCCTGATAAAGGCAGCTTTGAAAGTCCTGAGATCATAGTAGTAGAGAAACACTCAATACACCTGCTCTAAGACAGAAGTTGGCAAGAAGGTCTACCCTCGGCACTAGTCTCGACACTGTCCTGGAGGTTGGTGCAGTACAGTAAGACAAAAAAAATAAATATGAAGCCCCAAAACCCAGAAGGACAGAGTGAAAATGTTCCTGTTCACAGATGACATGGTTGTTTACGTAGAAAATCCCAAGGAACCATCAAAACTAACTAGAAATCTCAGTGAGTTTTAGCAAGGTCTCAGGATACAAGGTCATTATAAACAAAAGTCAACTATATTCTTATATTCTATCAATAAACTATTGGGAAATAGAATTTAAAAATGCATCTACAACATCAGACAATACCAGAAAAAAATTCTAAGATTAAATTTAATGCAGAACTTGCAGAGCTCTGTACTGGAAATGATGAACATCACTGAGAGATACTATAGAAGATCTGCATACAGAGGCTGTGCTATGGTTACAGTATGAAATTTAACATTGTAGGCATCTACTCCTCCAAATTTACCCATGGATTTCATGCAATCCCAGCTATAATTCGGCAAGTTTTATACACAGAATTTGATAAACTGATTGTAAAATGTATGTGAGAATTCAAAGGACCTCGTACTGCAGTCAGGGGTTGCAAGAAAAACAATTACATACAGGACACATAATTTATAGTATTATTTATAATGGTCACCCAGAATTAAATACAAAGAAAGTACAGGAAATCTGTCCACAACACTAAAGTCCTAGAAAACCCAGCAGAAGGCCTAGATTCCATGGCAATAACTTGCACGAGTTCAGTTGAAAATCTAGAGTCTATGACAATGACCATGCAAGTCTACCCCATGAGTCTGTGCTGGGAAGGCCCAAAGGTCAACAGTGGAAGCTAGAAAGTCTTGGAAGTAGTGGAAGCTTGAATGCCAGCAGGGTGAAAATCTGTGCTAGCAGGTTGAGCATTCTGTACTAGAAACAAGAAGCAATGCTCAAAATAAGGACCAGGGCTCCCCACAAAAGTACCACAGCCATTCTCAATGACAGTGAGGTCCTCAGCTCCTCCAATGATAACAGCTGAGTACGACAACACTTAGGAGAACCCTTAATATTTTTATTCCTCTCCAGGTCTCCTTTTTATGCTGGTAACAGTCTTTGGGTGGGCCATTGATGCTCAGCACCATGCTGATTCAATTCAGCTGGTGTTTAAGTTAACCATCAGTTACTAATCCACTACACCTAGGATATCAAAATAAACTTGAAAAAAAAAAAAGAATGGAGTTGAAAGACTTGTACTATCTGATTTTAAGATTTAATATACAGACACAGCCGGACATGGTAGTGCACCCTTATAATTTCAGCACTTGGGAGGATGAGGCTGGAGGGTGGTTGCATGTTCAAGACCAGCCTGAACTGTATCATGAGACCCTGTCTAAAAAAGACACACACACACACATACACACACACACACACACACACACACACACACACACACAGTGATCACAATAGTTTGCATCTAGTATAAAGACAAAGAGGACCCATTAGACCCACACTTATTCCAGCAACTCATTTTTGACAAAAAACCCAAAACAGTTCAATGAGAAAGCAAAATCATCTTCATCAAATAGTACCAAAATAGATGGTTATCTACTTTAAAGGGGAAGAGAGAAAAAAAGAAAAGGGAAAAGAACTTAAGCCACAGAGACCAACATGAGACAAGTAAGTACACACAAAAGTTACAATTAAAACTTTTTTTTTTGTCTTTTTGAGACAGGGTTTCATGATACAGTTCAGGCTGACCTTGAACTCACTTTGTAGCCCAGGTTGGATGCTAACTTGCAAAAATCCTCCTGCCTCTGCCTCCTGAGTGCTGGGATTACAGCATCAACATTCCTGGCTTAACTAAAACTTTTAGAAAAAACACCTTTGTTAATTGAATAAAGATTTCTTAGAAAATCCACGGAAAGCAATAACCATAAGAGAAATGACTGGTAAATTAGATTTCTGTCTAATTAAAAAATTGTTCATCAGAGACACCACTGAAAACCAATAAAAAAACACAGATTGAGAGAAAATAGCCACAAAATCCCTGAAAAAGAACTTCAATCCTCAATATATAAGAATTTACACAACTCAGTAACAAAAAAAAGCCAATTTAAAACTAGATCAAGAACATATAAAAATTTTGAATAATCTAATATCAGTTAATGAAATTGAAAACATAATCAGAAACTTGCCAACCAAGAAAAGCCCAGGTCCTGATGGATTCACTGCTGAATTCTATTAAGAAATTTATGGAAGATTTAATGTCAATACTCCTCAAACTTTTTAATAAAACTGAAAGGGAAGCAAACTCCCTAACTCATTCCTGGAACCAAGTATTATTCTGATACCAAAACCAAAGAAAGACCCAACGAAAAAAGAGAGCTATAGACCAATTTCCCCTAATGAACATAGATGCCAAAATCCTCAATAAAACATTAGCAAACAGAATGGAGCAAATCATCAAGAAGATTATGCACCACGACCAAGTGGGATTTATCTCAGGAATGCAGGGATGGTTCAATATATGCAAATCAATAAGTGCAATACACCAGATCAACAGAGTTAAAGGTAAAAATCACATGATCATCTCAATATACGTAGAAAAGGCTTTTGATAAAGTTCAACACTCATTCATGATAAAAACTGTACATAAAGTAAGAATACATGGTTTTTACTTCAATCTGATAAAAGCCATCTATGAGAAACCAACAACCAACATCATACTAAGACAAAAACTGAAAACTTTTGCTCTAAAATCAGGAACAAGACAATTATGCTCACTATGACCACTCCTATTCAGTATAGTTCTGGAAACACTGGCTAGAGCAATTAGAGAAAAATAAAAGGAATAAAAAAGGAAAGGAAAGTTAAATTATCATTATTTGCAGATGTATGATACTCTACATAGAAGACCCCAAAAACTCCATCAAAAAACCTTAAGATTTAATAACCAAATTTAGTAGCATAACTGGATACAAAGTCAACACTCAAAAATCAATAGCATTCCTGTATACAAACAATAAACTCTCTGAGAGAGAAATTAGGGGAACCATATCCTTTGCAATAACATCCAAAAGAATGAAACTTAGCAATCAATCTAACAAAGGAAGTAAAAGACTATACAATGAAAATTACAGAACTCTAAAAAAGGAGATTCAAGAGGGTATCAGAAAATGGAAAGGTATCCTTTGCTCATGGGTAGGAAGACCCAACACAGTGAAAATGGCCATACACTCAAAATTGTTATACAAATTTAATGCATCCTGATCAAAATACCATTAATATACCTTACAGAACTAGAGAAAATATTTCTAAAATTCATTTGGAACAAGAGAAGACCTAGAATAGCAAAGCAATTCTGGGCAACAAAGGCAAGGCAGGAGACATCGTAATCCCCGACTTGAAATTATACTATAAAACTACTGTGATAAAATCAGCATGGTACTGGCAAAAGCAAGCAAAAAAACAGACCTGAGGGTTGGTGGAACAGCTTAGAAAATGCAGACACAACTACAAAGACACTAAGCCTTATTTTTGACAAAGGGTCCAAACATGTTCACTGGGAGAAAAATAGCCTCTTTAATAAATGGTTCTAGACAAACTGGTTCTCTATATGCCTGTCTTGTTTTTTTTTTTTTTTTTTTTCTCCATTGGTGGGACAAAATATCAGACACTCATAGTTAAAGAAGGGGAAACTTATTTAGCTCACAGTTTGTGGAGATTTCATCCATAATGAGCTAACTCTAAGGGAGGGGGCACATGGCATGGGCAACCTTCATGATGAGGGAAGACAGCAAAAGCAACAAGAGCAAAAAGGGAGGAGTGTGAGAGAAGACTCTTCCTGTGCCTTATACTGTATGAAGACTAGTCACACTAGAGCTAGTGTAGCATTCATATCCATAATCCCAGCACTGGACAATGAATCAATCACAAACTCTAGAAGACTGCCCCCATGACTTCTTGAGGCTTTGAGGGGACAACCAAATACAAATCATGACAATGCCAAAGACTAGAACTAGATCATCTCTACCACTATGCACTAAAGTCAAAATGGATCAAGGACCCAAATATTAAGACAAACACTAAATCTACTAGAAAAGAAAGTAGAAAGAAGGTATAGGCCAAGACTTCATGAACAAAACCCAAATCGCATGGAAAGTACCTCAAAGAATCAATAACTGGGATCTCATCTCATTAAAAAGCTTTTCACATCAAAAGAAATCACCAACAGAGTGAAAAGAAAAACCATAAAGTGGGAAAAAGTTTTAGCCAATTGTCCCTCAGACAAAGAACTTCTATTTTTAACATACAAAGAACTGAAAAAAAATCAGACTCCCCAAATTTAAAGACCTAATTCAAAAATGTACATCTGAGATGGATATGCACTTCTCAGATGAAGAAATACAAATGGGACATAATTATTTGAAAAAAATATTCAACATCACTGGTCATTTGAGAAATGCAAATTAAACACTAAGTTTCTATCTCTCTCCAGAAAGAATGGCTTCATCAAGAAATCAACCAATAACAAATGCTGGAGGTGTGATGAGGAAAAAGGAACCCTTTTCCACTGTTGGTGGGAGTACAGATTGGTATAAGCAATGTGGAAATCAGTGTGGAGATTCCTCAAAAAACTAAGATTTGAAGTCCCATTTGACTCAGCTAGTCTCCTTGTGGATATTTTCCTAGAAGAATTAAAAACATCATATGCAGCGATATATGGACCCCCATGTTTATAGCAGCACAATTTGTAATAGCTAAATCTTGGAAACAATCCAAATGCTCATAATCATGGAACGGATAAAAAGCTGTGGTCTTTTTATACTACTCTGCTATAAAGAAGGATAAACTGAAGACTCTTATAGATAAATGGATGCAACTCAAGACTATACTCGTAAGTGAAATTAATTGGACCCATCTGTGTAAAAATTGTATTGTCTCAGTAGTGTGAGAAACTGAGTAAGTAAATAGGATTTGAAATGTACAATAGATACTGTGAAATGGAACAAAACTGTTCAAAAGAAAAGACAAACTGGGAAATGGGAAAGGAAGAAAGGGAAAAAAATATATATATATATGCAAGTCAGTTAGGATAATTACACAGCTGGTTTCTATTTGCTCCTTGAAAAGAATGTTTTATGTTAATATTGTTTAGACAAGATATAATGCCTATCTTGAAGAGGCTTTATATAACTACTATGAAGACAACAATATGCAATGTATCAACTGTTTTAACTGTCCCACTAACTTGTTTTGATACTCAGTTTCACTGTTTATCTTTTTAGTCTCTTTAAAATACAATTTAAAAATAAAAAGATTAAGGCCTTTCTAACATGTAAATTCATAGGTTGCATGTATCTTTCCCTAAAACTCAATAAATGTTATCTTTAACAACAATATATATAAGTGGGAAAACTCTCTTGTTGCTTTACAAATGTAACGAACAGACTTCTATGTCTTTAGACACTGAAAGGTACCAACAGATTCAAGTGGTGCATGGAAGTCCTGTTTGTCACCACTGGCACTGTCTGTGATTAGCACAGACCTTTCTAAGAGTTTGTAAGCTAACGTGTTTTGCTGTTTGGTTACACTTTCGGAAAAAGACATATTGCATCAACAGATTATTCCAGCTTCCATTTAAAATAATGGGAAATAGAGGACCAGAAAGTGTCTTAGCAAGAAATCACAGATTTTCATAATGCAATGTTGATGTTAAGTGGGAGATATGCTGTGATTAAGAGAAAAAAGAACAATTTTACAAAATGATAAAAATCTTACATATTTGTAAATTAGGTATTAACTATCTGTATATTAAGAAATACTTTCATTGGAAATTTTTGAATGGAAAGAAAAACAATGACTACACAGAAAACAACAGAGAGGAAGGATAAAGTAAGATCTGCAAAGACAAAGATGAAAGAAGTACGGCAAAGAGGGAAGGGACAGAGAGAAGAAGAAAGGAGAAACAGTAAAGTAAGTCACGTGTGAGAGAGGAGCTCAGTCTGATCTTGAATCATGCACAGCCACAGGTGATGATGGAGAACAGCAGTTCCCATGTTCCCAGGGGAAAAGCTGCTGACCTGGCCACTTTGCTAGGAGAATGTTAAAGAACATTCAGGGACTCAGGATCTTGAGCCTTTTCTGCCAAAATTATTAGGGCATAAAATTCATCCTGCAAGCAGAGGAAAGAAAGTGAAGAATTCAAAGAACTCAGCTGTGGGAAGGATCAAGGGTGGGCTATGGGTCATTTTCTTCAGAAGCAAAACCAATCAATTGTGTAAATTACAGAACGAAACATACACATCACAAATCATGATGGTAATTCCATAGAAAGCTTGTAACTGGGAACAGAAGGATGACCAAGTATTGTATCAGAACAGAAGACCCACAATAAATGCAGACACTCTGCTTTTGTTCCACCCAGAGGTCTGTATAGGCTGGCTTTTTGTACTTTTTTTTGGTACTTGGGAGCAAACATATGACCTTACGCTTGCCAGGCAGGCACTTATGCCGCTGAGCTAAATCCCTGGCCCTGCTTCTTGTTTTTTAACCAAGCGTAAGTTACAACAGATTAAATGCAGATCCAACTGTTTTCTATTGAGCCTAATGCTAAACAGATTTACAAAAATGTATGACAGGGCTGGAGATTTAGCTCAGCAGCATAAGCACCTGCTTTGCAAGCATGAGGTCGTGAGTTTGCTCCCCGATACCAAAACAAAACAAACAAAACTGTATGACAATACATTCTCACTAAATATTTTTGTTTTGGAAAAGTTATTTTTCTTAAAAATGTTATATTAACACACAATAGATTATTTTCAAATGAATAATTTCTTTGAATTGACTTAGTTTTCATTCCAAATGCCAGCAACACTAACAAGCACATCTCATATACAAAAGTACCTGGGCTTGGTGGATTAAATCTGTCCCTCTCCCCACAGGGCTCCTGTACCTTGCTGAGATCCCACACTCCAAGACAAAGATCAATCCTTTTGTTTATGACTTAAACATATAACTTATCTAGAAGAACTTAAAATTTCAGAAGTTTCTAAGATGATCAATCGGGAAAATACAATACATTCTGTATTTTGAAGTAATCTTTTATTAAACTACTTACTGTTTAATTAAATTCAAGTTCAACTGAAGCTGTTTATCAACTTCATAGGATTCATTTCTTAAAAATGATCTTGCATTGAATAGATGCTTCAATACTCAAATCCATGATTCAAACAGCAAACTTTAAAAGCTTGTTATTTTCCAGCATTCATCTTCATCCAGGCCCTTGTGTGGCTGGCCTGATTTGTGGCTGTGAAGAGCACACAGAGGGTGGCTGTGATAAGCAGATGCATTCCCTCGTAGAGAAGTTTTGGAGAAAATACACTCCATATGAACAGGTGATAACGCAGGGATGTCACCAAAATGATGTATGTAGCAACGGGAACAGAACAAATCAGCACATAGCAGAAGCAAGCACGGTCCATTGCTGAATCACTGTAAGTAAAACAGAAAGCATGCATTAGTGCGTGTTACAAGAACATATGTGACTGCTGCTTCTGCTCTGTGGTCATCCTTGCCTGGGGACTAGAAAGTATAACACTCTCTTCTATGCGCTAATCTAATCTCTGGACACTGCACTGGGGTTCCTACAAATGTCCTAGAGAAGAGAAAAACCAGACTAAAATAATCCAGAAAATGATTCATTTGAAAATGAGCCAGAAAGTGATCAACTCTGTGAAGAAAAATAGAACAGAAAGGCAGAGGCAAGGTGAGGCCTGCCTGCTACTTGAGCTTTCAGAAATGCTCCTAACCTTGACTATTCATAGAATGACTTGGAGGTTTGCTAAAAATGGGAGACTTCCCACAAAAATCTAGACCAAAGTGGGTGGAAGCTAGAGGTTAGCAGCTGTGGGCTATGGCTGGGATCCTCTTCAGTGTCACCACACTGTGACGTAGTTGTGAAAAATTCATCCTAGATTTTGCATTTATTTAAAAATTATATGCAAATACTACTATCTCATACATAACACTAAACAGAAAATCATAGAAGGAAGACACACAAACACAAACACACAGTCTGTACCACTGTCCTGTGATCTAGGGATCTAAGCCCCACACATGTGCTAGGAGGGCAGCAGTATTCTGGAAACACAAGATGCTTCTTGCCCTGTTGTTTCTAAACCACCAACACAATTATTACATAAATCTAACCTGTTCTTTAAAGCAACTTCCCGTGGTCAGAGTTCTTTTGCCCATCTGCAGCCTCTAGTCAATCTGAAAGGCCTCGGGGCCCTCAGATTCTGATCTCACCCATGTGCCAGCTTTGCTATCTCCCTCTGAATCCTGTACTACACTGAGCAGGCCTGTCTGTGCCATTCTTCTGTTGTTAGCCACACTCTGCACTCCTGCTGCCTTTCCCTCACCCAGCCCTATTTAGGTTACAGATGATGGGCACTTCCGTGTCAAGACAGGCACTGCTACCAGTGTCTACATTGTGAGGCATGGACTGGGGGATGGCAAACTCATTCAGCTTTTGCAGAAGCTCAGAGGCAAAGCACCATGTGTATAGAGAGTGTATGTGCGAGTGTCACTTATACAAGTATACTCTGTGATATGCTCCTCAATCTTGTTGACTAGAAGACACCACCAGGTGCCACGTTAAGATGTCTCCACAATGCTTCCTGTTTCTATGCTCACTGTCCAGAGATGGTACCACAGCCATTTAGTGGCCAAAGGACAGGGCTGTCCAGGTGCTAATCTTCACCGGCTCCCCTCTCAGGCCCCTGTCATGTTCCTTCTTACCTGCTAGGTCCTCAACTGCTTGCTATCCTGAAACATCTCAGCATGGCTCTAGGCTTTTGCTGTGGTGGCCCTGGCCCCTTCCTTCTATCTCACTGTTTCTGACTGCAGCTGAGGAACCCCATAGGAGCTACCTTGTTGCATGCTCTGAGTAACAGCACCTGCCTGGAACACTGTATACCAACACTAGCTAACAGGTTACCATGCAGGGTAAGCTCTGTGGATGGGAGGAGGTGTGCTGCCTCACCTCCTCAGACAGTACACAGTGAGGTTCAGCTTCCACTGCCTGGCCTGTGCTCTACGTAGGTGGACAATGACTAACATTTGTCTAGAACACTGTAGCTCGGTCCCTCACAGTGGCCAATGCACTCCCAGTGTTACCAGTGGACTTTGGCACAGAGCCATCTGTGCTTCCAACTGCATTGCTTGGCTTAGCCCAGCAGCCCTGATGCTGGGGTCTTGACCATTCAAGACAAATACTGACCTGTTGGAAACATAAACTGTATGCAGCATTTAGATCTCATTACAATTTTCTTACTTCACTGAAACAAAATGGAAATGAGTAAAACTTGGTTTTAAGCTCTTTTAAAATGAAAGAGAAAACCATGTGTGAAATGAAGGAACACTCTTTAACTAGGGAGGACATCCACTAATGTTGTCCACTGATTAAAATGCTTATAACTGACTCTCTTCTTAATAGGTACAAACACTACTTCATGCCTGATCCTGCCAGGCCAATGGCACTGGGGATGCCAGCTCAGTGGATAAGAGTCCTTACTCTCTAAAATCTGTCTTTTAGAGATAAACTAGACAAACCTAAAGACCAAGAAAGCAAAGAATGAGAATGTAGGAATGCTGCTGAGAACACAGGCAGAGGAGACCTAGAGGGCTACATCTGTGCAATGACCAGAGGCGCTCAGGTAGGGAGCTGCGAGCATGGGAGGTGCAGGGAGGGCTTCCAGGTTACCCTCTGCACCTTTCCACTCAGTTGCCATTCTTTTGTGCTCAGGTGGCAGCCCCAGAAGTCTCAGCAGCACCTCTGGGGCCCCTTACGGGCAGGACTTCTGAGGCTCAGGTCCAGTGTCTTTGTTTTCTTGCTCCTCAGCCCCCACCACCAGTAAAGAGAAAAGCTCAAGGTGCAGAAGACATCTTCCCAAGTGGTTGAACTAGGGAAATGAAGCTGGCCCAGAGTGCCCTCAGACCTATTGTAGGCCTCAGAGCTAGAGTAAGCTTATTTAAGGAAGACTACTAGTGAACAGACTATTTGACACATGGAAATCAGATGCCTTACCTAGGACAAGGTATAACTCATAGAAACAGGAAGCTTTCAGATTTGTGCTGAAGATATAAGTGCCTCACCTGCTTGCTTCTGCACTCAGGAAATGTGCCAGATGGGCAGCCCACAGCACAGGTCCCACATACGTCCCAAACACTGTCAGGAATGTGGCTGGAATTTCCATGTAGGTGTCTAAACCCACAAAGCCCGCTGAGATATCAATGGTGGCTATATTGTTGGAGTTTCCCTGGAACAGAGGAAACTAGGGCTGATGATGGCTTACAATACACAGCATTAATCATTGCTGCCTGAGCGTGGACACATGGGCCAGATGACCACATCAGCATGGACACATAGTTGACGCTATGTCAGTGTGGAACACTTGGGGCCAGATGATCAGTTAGTGTGAATATACTGTCAGAGAAGCCAGATAGCCTTTTCACAACCAGGGTTGGGTGCTCCTCTGGTCATTGGCTTCCCTAGGACAAATTACTGTGCCATTCCAGGCCCAAAGGAGCCAGGTGGTAGAGACAGCAATCTCATTCCTTTGTCCATATTCATCACAGTCCTTCAGTTGAGGAAGGACCTGAACTAAAGGGCCTCTGTCTGTGGGAGCACACTACATTGGAGATCGCTGGCTTTGGCTGAATTAGAGTGGAGGGCAAACTAGGACTGTGGGACACACTAGCCTGCTTACTGAAGACAGACTCCTGACTGCAGAGTCTGGATGGTTCCAGCCATTCCTGGTACTCTCCAGCTGTGCTGTGAGACAGCTCACCCTTCATGCTAAGTAGTAGGATCTCCTGAGGGTTCACTTATCTCCACTTTCAGTCTGTTGAACCTGGTGATCTGTACACCATGTGTACACCTGAATCTGACCCACACTCTCTACTTGGTGGGGTCAGCTGGCATGGTGTGGTGCTGCTGCCAACTTCACAGGTCCAGAGACACACACATCTTCCTGTCCCACCATGCCCATCCCCCTGGGCACTGCTCCTCCACACCTCTTCCCTGAGGCCCTGTTGTACTCTGGGTTCTTATCTCTCTTCTGTAGTCTTGCCTAGGGACAGAAGAAAGCTGGCATCAGGAGCAATGGGGTGGGGGGAAAGGTCAGGGCCTTGTTTGTAACAGAAGTAGGTCTGCTCCTGGAGCAGATGGTGACTCTAGATCAAGGTCAGCAGAACAGAGGACAACCACAAAGCCAGCAATGGGGCAGCATGTGCCACCATGATGATACCCGACTTGTATTAACTCACTGTCATCCACCATGTGACATGGCATACCATTGCACTTGGTGTAGAGCAAAGAGACTTGAGGCACAAAGACAGGGAATTTAGTGAGAATGGAGGGCCGGCAAAACAGAGTATCATGATCCTGATCCCCACACAGTCAAGGAAACAGAGCTGAGGGCAGCAAGACCCACACTTGTCTCCCAGACCTGAAAATGAAGGGAAAGAAACTCAACCTGAGAACAGGGAGAGCTAGGTCAGAGTTACAGGAAGATGGTAAGGGGGAGAATGGGGAAAAGACAGGGAGAGCTAGGACACTGACACAAGAGGATGGGAGAGGGGAGGACGGGGAGAGGACGAGGACAGAAAGAGCTAGGTTGGGGACCAGGACTATGGAGACAACAGAACCATACAAATGAGAGACCTAGAGAGCTAGGATGGGGGACCTAGGATAAGGAGGGAAAGGATGAGAGGGGGAAAACAACGAGGGGAGGGAAGCAGGGGAGGGCAGATTCCACCAGGCTCCTGACTCATCACCGTCTAAGAGAACAGCACTGTTCATTGCTTTCAATTTATAGATAAGGAACTCAAGCATAGCTCGCATTTGCTGGAGGCCCCATGTGGGAAGGTTTCCTATGTTTTATGGGGCATCCCATGGTGATGTCACCTTTAGTCAGAGACCCTCAAGGAGAATTGAGGTTGAGAGAGTTGGGAGGTAAAGCTGTGGACTGGTCTTAATCTGGTCATGTTATGGAGGACTGGTGGGTTTCTCTAAATCACTTGCCACCTTTGGATTTCAGATCAGAGTGCAGAGACAAGTCATTTAACTTGAGGCACAGGGAATGTGCCTCAAGAATGAAGCATTGCTGGGACATGGATGAGATCTTGAGATTAGGCAGAGCAGTGGAGGCCAGTGAAGGAGGAGGAGACAGAGCAGTTGTTCTGTGCAGATGGAGTCTCTCAGCTAGGGAGTTGGGTTGAAGGGATCTGCAATGACCTGGGGATGCCAGGACAACTGTGCAAGTATGTACACACACAGCTGAAGCCCTGCCTGTGATGGGACTTTAAACACTGGGGCGAAGTCCTGCCATGCTTCCAGGTCCCAGTGGAAGAATGGCCATGTGGAGATACTGAATGGTCCCCGGTGTGGACAGCCCTGACACTGGGAATAAAAGCACAAAGCACAATTACTATACTCATAAAATAAGCAAAAGACTTGACATGTTTTCTTTACTGCTTCTTCTAATTAAATTCTTACCTGATCCTGCAGAGCAACAACTGGATATTTGTTGTACACACCCACAATTCCACACTGAGTGTCTACCTTAAATAACTGTGCTCTATGTTATAAGCATAGTTCACCATGCATACTGACAGTTCTCATTAACAGATACCATTTTCCAACTTCTAAAATGTTCTCAAATAAAAACAAAGATATAGAAAAAAGTAAATAGTCTTCTACCTATGATAATAATGAAACCTACCTGAAAATAGAAGAATGCTTGACCAAACCAGTAATGCATTACAGTTATCTCAGCTACATTGTGTTTCAGAGGCTTCCAGATGAATTTAGTCATGATGGTCTGGATCAAGAGGCTAAATGCTAATACCGGAAGATTATGTGGTCTTAAGAGCAATGCTGCCAGAAGAACTAATCCACTATATAGTTCCCACAAACCTACAGTCGTGACTTTGAAGTCTGCAGCAATGACTTGAGATTTAAGCAAGTCTTTGGTGCCCGTGAACAGAATGCCAAGGACAAAGACATAAACAAAACGAGCTTCAAGAATACCCCTAAAAAAAAGCAAAACAAGTTAAGATTCATTTTTACCAACTACATAATTTTCCACGAAAAGCACATGTCTGCTTAGGGAATGCCTAATTTATGCTAGCATAGCTAACCATGCAGTAGCACCCTCCCCACCACGGTTGTCACCTCTTAATCCCTTTATCTGTGGGACCAGCAGGCCTGTCCTGCGTACACCTTTGTAACTGAGCTGCCTTTGGGGTTGCTCTTTAGCCATGGAGCACACCAAGAAGCCTGCCTGGTACACTGAAAACCACTGCCCTGGTAAGACCCCACTCTCAGAAACTCCCATCTATTCACAAATGCTGACTATGTGAGTGAGCATGTTCATAATCGAACAGATTCAGAAAAGACACACCCATAAGCATCAGTCTCGGCCCCACGTTAAGACTTGTTGTTGGAAAGTTAACACTTTTATTTGACACTCAGCTTTGTTACTTATGAAAAGAATGAAAAATGGTATCTATACCTCACAGCGCTATTACAGGGATATAAGAGGGAATGTGCATTTTATGGCACAGTAAATGTTCAACATTAAGTATTTTTATATTTTAGTACTTCATTTAAGTCAGTAAAAGATATAATTTATGACACTAGACCTAAGAATTTCATTTTACAAAGCACATATATCCCTAAAAACATTTTAAATAGATTTTATAAGTTATTTTATATATACTGCTTTTAAAACACTAGGTAAATTTAAAAATATCAATGCATTTTGGAAAATGAGTTTTCTTATATCAGATTTTCTTAGAAAGGTTTATGTATTTAAAAATCCCCTTTTTGGTATGATGAGTTTGATTCTAATTTTATTATAGTGCTGCTGAAGTGAACACATGATCAGTTTGACGCCAATATGGTGGGCTCTGTATGCCTGTGCCTATGCCTGGCAGGTGACACTTGCTGAGTAGCTAGGTCTGGGAGCTGGCAGCCCTACAGGTTAGGAGTGCTCTGGGATGAATGCTGAAAGCAGGTCTCACATACTTAGAGATGGAGACCCACATGGGTTAGAACCACTGAAAAAGTTTCAAAGAAACAGAACTGGTTCTGTAACAGGAGATCAGCCCTAAGTGGCTGGGCAGTGAGCAGGAAGGAGAGCATTAAGAGACACATCTGAGGCCCTTCTCACCCTAACCAGTCAGTGCTTCCTGTGCTCCAGAGCCACTGCCTTGAACATCTCCTTCAGCCATCCTTGGACTTCTAGTGAGAAGAAAGCAAGCTACAGACAATAAAGGACAAATCCAGAATTGCTGTAGATCCAGAACTGTACAGGTCTGGAACTAGGAGTATTCAGATAGGATAGGAGGGGCTAAGAGATGGAAGTGCTTTCTAGGAGGAAGGTGAACAAGTAGACGTGTTGAGACAAAAGGCAAAACACTTGGTTTTAGACACTACAGAAACATGCTGCAGCAGGCAACCAGGTAAGTGAGATGACTATGTTTGGAGACAGTGCATGGGTCTAGGAGAAAATAAGAATTTGTTCACACACTGCAGTTTGTGATGACACAATATCCCTAGATGTAGCATCCAACCTGATGTTTTCCCAAAGTCTTGCACTCTGAAGGTGTCCCAGCCTCCTGCCTCCGTAGGTGCTTCCAGGGGCTCCTGAGCCCTGAAGCCACCCATATGGCCTGGCTACATCCCTTAGTTATCACCTAGACTTTTTGTTTCATTAAAAAGCAATATCCATTAGTTCTGGATATTTGTAGGATACAAAAATGAATAGTAAGAAGGAAGATCACAATTTACCTATGATCTTGACACCTAAACACTGTATAAACACCAATATTTTATCTAGTCTTTCCTACAAATATGAAAAATTAAACTCATTTGGTAAGCTGGGATCACATAACAGTTTTATAGCCAACTATTCCACAATGTCTTTCTATTTCTACAAAAATCCTTTGGCCCAACAAAGCTGTCAGAAAAATCAGCTCATAGTATAATTCTATGAACTTGAATATGACCATACAGTTTGTCATGCCACAGTTGGTCACCCCAACAGTTGGTGTTCGATTGTTTTGCTCTTTATTTTTTTTAAACTATAAATGATGCTCAATGAACATGCTGCATATATACTTAGGAAAATATAGTCACATCAAAGAAATATTTCAAATCAGGCAGTTAATACATTTAACAGAACATGAACAGACATGTACAAATCTGTGGCAGTCTGCATTTTATAAATGCTCTTTTACCCATTTCAAATCATGCTCTTCTACTGGCAACCAGTGATCAATCCTAACATCCTCCTGCTATGTCCTCAGGACACATTTGAGAAGCTTGGAGGGTTCCTACACTTTACCACTTGCCTTGGAACAGCCCCTATCCAGCCATACCCCAGGAGTGAGAGGCAGCCTCTTCTACCATATTGCCCTCAAACAGAAGAGTGGGCACCTGACACACAAAGATAAATTTGGGACTGAACTCTCCTGGCATGTGCAGCATGGAGCTCCTTACTATATGGGAACACAATGAACATTATGGGATACCCTGGCTTTTTTTTTTTTTAGTAAAGGTGGATGCTTGGATTCATGCACCTCGGACAAAAAAAAAAAAAAAAAAAGTAAATGTGGATGCTCCCTAGCAGTTGGAAAAGTACATGTTTTTTTAAGCTTGGTTAAATCTATTAACTCTGCCTGATTGAAACATTTCTTGGGTGTAATCACATTCTCCTCAGTGTATATGCAGCATGTTCACTGAGCACCATTTATAGTTGCCAAAAATGGAGAATAAAACGGTCACCCACCAACCATGGAGTGAACAACCATGTGGTCATGTTGAAGCTCCAAATAGCTGATTTTCCTGACAGCTGTCAGGTCAAACATTTTATAGAAATAAGTTTCTACAGCCACGTCACAACTGAGCACTGCTGCCATTAACTCAGACACCAGTCTATCATCCGTTACTCCTATGATATCCCTGGAAGTTTAGCTAATTTAAAAAAACTCAGTGACCTTCTAAGCTATTTGTCTTTTTCCTAAAAGAGTGCTAATAAAGTGAAGGTTTTGTTAGCTAGGTTCATGACAGTTTTGTTAGCTAGGCTCTAGGAGCTGCTGATGAAATTAGCATTCATAAAAACCAAACTCTAGTACTCTAAAGATTGGCATGACATTTTTCAGTTCATAAAATACAACGACTCATCTAAAAGTAAGTTCACATGTCTGTAATGCACTTACTTTGAAATGCCTTTGTTGGCTGGTTGCCATGGGAACAGCAAATTCCCAATAGCTGCCCGATAGCAGAAGATACCCACCAGCCCTAGTGCCAGGGCCACCTTGGACATGAGGGAGCATTCTCTTTGAACCAATATGAAAATCATAAGCAAGGACAGGGCAGCCAGGCAGGAGAGCTCCATTTTGTGACTAGAGCTGCAGTGAGACAGAAAATGCCAATGTTATTACCAAATGGGACTGGTGACATATGCAAACCACAGCCAGGGGCTCCAAAGAACTGTATTAAAGATAGTTGATTTTCCTGGAGAGAAAAAAAAAGTTGGTTAGTTAACTTCAAACAGAAGTTCTTAAAATGTGACAAACAAATATGTTCAGCTAAAGTCCTATAACTTTCATAGGCTTAGAGGCTAGACAGGAGGCATAATCAGTCTTGTCACCACCACCCTTGACTGGCTGTATCCCCACCCTCCCTCTGGCAGGCTGCCACTACCCCCTACGGTGAGGGGAGCTGCAGGGATGAAGCCCATCCATACTGGGGTGTTGGAAGGCCAAACTCTTTTCTCTATTACAGCACATACAATCTTAGACAATTACTATTAAAAGGATGAGTAAATATTTGCCAAAGTATACTCAGACCTAGAAAAAATGACCTGGGCATTCATTTGCTACTGAGATTTAAGCTGCATGTATATTTTAGACACTCTGGAAGGTCACATGTCATGGTAGAGGGACAGGCAAACAATTGTGAAGGAGTAGGCAGCTGCCGGGAGGTATGCAACTCCTACCACTATACCAGGATAGGAGTGGCCTGCGGCAAGAGTGTGCTAGGTGCAGGTTACATACATTCACACCCTTGGGGACATGCAGAAGCAGGTATGCCAGTGGTAACTTCCTCCATTTTTCAGATCTCAAACAGCATCCTAGTCTCTTTTTTTTTGTACCAGGAACCAAACTCAGGACCTCATGCTTGCCAGGCAGGTGCTGTACCACTGAGTTATCTCCCCAGTCCCAGTATCCCATTCTTAACACAAAAAACAGGCCTAAGTGTACTAAAAGAAGACTAGTGTGAAACTTACTAGTAGGGTCAGCCTGCTGGGGTCATGCTCACCTGGTGAGCCAGTGGCCGAAGTCCGGCCGGTGAGCTCCCTGGACCCCTGTGTGGTTCAAGGACCTTAGCAGTCGGCAAAAAGCCAGCACCAGCCATGGACCAGCCAGCACTGCCCAGTGGGTATGACCTCTGAGTGCTCCAGAGGGGCAAGGCCCTTTACCCGCCTGGCCAGCCTTGGGGGCTTCGCAGGCTACGCAGTCCTGTTGGATGCAAGTGGCACCCACAGTCCCTGGCTGTGTGTGGAAACGGTGCTGCAGTTCGCTGTCATCTTTCAGGAAGTAGCTCCGGCAGGTTTCCTGGCTCAGAGCCAGACATAGTGTATTGACCAGGAAGTACCAGGTTTGGTGTTCTTCTTCCACAAAGCTACTGGCTCCCAGGCTCAGGACGTGGCCAACTGTGCCAAGCAGGAGGAGGAGGCCCACTTCCGACCATCCTGAGCAGGGGCGGGCTGCACTCTGAGGAAGAAATGCATTTTATGAGGGGTGATCTGAAAGTGGCACACACTTACTGCATGTGCTGACATCTTTGGTGAGAGTAACTACACTTGTCATCTTTGCGGCTGGTGCTCACAGCTTTCCCCAGAAGAACATTTCTTCCTGCGGCACCCTCAGCCCAGCCAGAAGGGCAAAGACCAAGACGGCTGAGCCTTCTGGGTAACACTGAACCCAAGCGCTTATCAGAGACCCTGCAAGCCCTTGCCCTCCTTCCATGGAAGTACCTGCTGCCTGGAAATTGAAGGGGCCAACCTATCCATGAGTTTCTAGAACCCTAGTTTCCACTGTAACAGTTACATCTGTTTGAAATGACAAAGGCAGCATAAGAGTCCTGTTCCTTTAATGTTCTAACTTTAAATGGCTCAAGACATAGATTCAATTGCTGTCATCTGTTCTTTTGATATCCATTAATTGTGTGTTGACAGGTACTAGGGAGAGGAGGAGCATGAACCCAGTTAGGCCTGACAGGTACAGACCTGGACAAAGACAATCTGAGTTATAAGGACACCGCAAGTGCCTATATCCACTGTCCTGCGGGTGGCTTTGAAGGCCCTGTGAGGGCAGAGAAGGAGTTGGAGCCATTGCACAGGGTCCCTCCATCCTCATGGTGCTCTAGGCACTTTGGACCAGACAGCAGCTGTCTATTCCTGTTCTCTGCCCTGCTTAAATTCCCAGCTAATGAGCAAAGGTGCCTGGCCAGAAACTCAGAATTTAAAGAACTGCACTTAGGTATACAGAGACACAGCAGACCAAGTGTGCTAGAGCATCCTGAGCACCCACCAGTAGACTGTGCCCTCAGCTGCAGCTCACACGCTCTGCTAGATGCAGGCCCACAAATGGTCAGCAACCCTAATGAGTCCTCTGCTTCTTTCCTAGAGCCCTGGAGCAGAGGCACGTGGCCTGATCCAATACCATAACACTTAGCGGATGATTAAGCTCCCTCCCTGCCATCCTTTTTGGGGTAACCTTTCTAGGATGCCACAAGCATGACCCTAATGGTGCATACCAAGTGTTCAATCACATCTAAGGAACAAAAGTGAGGCTGGTATAACACAACAGTCCGCAACTGCTGTACCTTCCATGGGAGAGTGCTGTCCATGACCATCCTGGCAAGAGCAGATGCAATCACACAAAGCAGTGCAGAAACCAGCACCATCACGCCCCCAGCTGCCAGCCACGGGAGGCTGCAGAGGTAGCAGGAGCTCTCCACTGAGGTGCACACTACTACATGGATGGCTGACAGGATCAGGAACATCAGGTAGAAGAGCAGAGAAAACATGGCAGGTGACAGTGGCACTTCTAGCTCAGCCCTTCTGTGCAGCACCTGTGGAGTGCTAAGGAGGAGCAGGGTGAGAGCCTGGAACAGAAGATGTAGGTATTGAACAGATGGCCAGGTGTGGCTTGGTCCACATGATACATGCCTCCCACCTTGTGCCAGCTGCTTATATACTGAGGACAGAAAAGAGACCCTAGAAAGAGAATTTTTAATTGCCTACTAAAAGTGTCATGGTGTGGCTTATTAATTATTTTTTTTTTACCTCCTGTGGCAAGGCTGGGTGCAGCCACTGGCACTGCTTTGTGCATCATCACAAGCCGGACACATGATGGGAGGACGAGGAAAACCTATATTTTCTGTGTTTAGTAACACTGATATAGTTTAAATTCATATTTGGCTGAGTTGCCAAAGCTATGTAACACCTAAGCCCCACCACGTGACATGAGGGTTCATACCTCCAAAACAATGATGGTCCCCACTGCCATGGAGTAGACATCATACTGAGCCACATGCATGCTCAGTGCCAGGCTCAGGGTCCTCAGCGCACCCAGATACTGTCTGGCCACTTTGGTCCCCAGGTTGAAAAGGGCACCAGAATGGTCCTCCTCCAAGTGTAGCCTCACCCAGTTCCCATGGAGCCTTTCTGCCATCATAAACTGCTCAAATCCAGGATCTGCAGGAAAGAAAAATCTCACGTAGTGATCTGTGGCATGATTTTTAGAACTGATACTCAAAGCACACTGCCTGTTCTTTCAGGGGAGGGTCAGCAGCACATTAGTAAAATTGTGAAAACTGACAATGAGCCTGTCTGTCAGAGCTCTTCCAGGGCGTGGGCCCTTGGTACATAGAGGTTAGACAGAAATATCTACCTGCTACTCAGCCCAGACTCTTCTCTACACTTCTTACCTGGTCATACCTCCTTGACCTCTCATTGTCTCTTTCCACTCTGCTGCTTCTTGTGCAACACAAAATGACTCCTGAAGTGCACTGAATCAATAGGTCTTGGTTATACAGAATCCTTCCTGTCCTTACAGCACACCTACCTTCATGCATAGCCAGCCTCTCTGTTCTCTGGAATGTGACTCCATAGCCCTCCCTGCTCAGGAAGGCCAGTGATGGCCTGATATGGGAGACCGGCTCTGGGAAGGGGCTGGTCCTATGGTTGCTGTCTGCCTCTTGTAAACACAGGCAAGCTGCTTGTGGCCAAATACTGGTGTACTTTGTTTCCAGAGCTAGATGGCCTCTCAGTCCTCCCTGGATCACACTTTCTCATGACTAGACAGGTCCACAAACCAAGAACCTCTGCTGGTATCTGAAATGCATTTATTCTTAGAAAAGGCAATTGAAGAGTAGATTCAGAAGTACCTGTCAGCAGGTCCCCAACCTGACAGCTCTGACCAAGCCCCAGGTTTGCATCACAGCAGCAGAAAAACCTCTGCAAACAAACAAACCACTTGTGTGTATAAGGTGCAGACATGAACCCAAACACTTGCAGGTTCATATGCATTACTATTGTAAGGCCCATGCAACCTTATCACACCAATGGCCAGTATCCTGCTAAGAGCTCTTCTTTTCCTCCCCACAGTGTTCAGTGGAGCTAGGATGTAGACATGGGTGGCCCATGTTTCTACGACTGCCTTTGGAAGCTGTGGGGTGTAGACATGGCTCTCCCACTTTGCAAGGCTGGGTACAGCACTTATGATGCCAGCTCATATAGTCACATTCTCTGTCTCTCCCTCCCCCTCAGATACACACACAGATTGTATGTACACACACTGTCATTGATATGTAATTACAAAGTGTGAAGAATGGTATAATAGAAAGATATACTATATAATGAGAATTCTGGGGTGGGGGAAGATTTGGGTTCTAGATTTAAAGTAGAGTGGGGCATAAGCCTGGTCTGACATCTAAGCTGAATTAAGGGTATTTTGGAATTAATTCTGAAAATCTGGAGAATTTAGTCAATGAGAACAGCATGAGTAAAGGTCCTGAGAGACAGCTGGTCCCAACAGAGCTGGGAGCAAAGGAGCCAGATGCTCAGGGCAGGCTGGGTATCTGAAGGGCTCACAGGCCACGTGGGGTCTGAAACCTGTAAGACCTGTACTGACAATGTAGATTGCGTCTTCTAGGGGTGTAGGATCCATTTAGTAATCTTGGGTTCTCTCTCATCGTTCACAGTTTTTGATTTTTCCCTACCCTGACATTTCTGAAATAGGCAAACAACTTTTCTGTTGTTTTTATTTTTATTGGTGTTTTTACTAGTATAGGAGAAAGGGTATTAATAAGAACAAATGTGCAAAATTTACCAACTAAAGTCATTTTTGAAAAAATAAAACAAACCAGAAGAAGTAACAGTAGTCCTGGCTGGGCCTGAATATGAGTAATAGCCAGGCCTTGATGACATAACACCTCTCCCTAGGTTGTGGGCCACACTTGGCCATGAGGTCCTCTCACTGATATTTTCTTTCCTTCCATGGCTTCCTGGACCTGGCTACCCCCAGTGATTGGTCCACTTCAGTGCACAGTCACTCCTTCTGTGCTGCTGAAAATGCTGGGGTTGCTCCGTGTTTTGTACTTTACATCCCAGTGTGTCAGTCAATCCTGTCTATGCCACCTCCAAAACATGTCCAGAATGCAATCCCATTTCTACCCACCTCTTGCCAGAGTACTGCAGCTGGCTGAGGCCTCAAAGATAGGCTGGGTGGCCTAGCCTGCAGCTTTCCCACTTCACCAAGGATAAAGGTGGGTCTGTTGCCTAAAGAGCTGTACATCCTCTGTCATCAGCTCCTTGTGCCCTCTCCAGACATGTCATCAGGCTGTGTGGTTCCCTGCATTGTCTCTGCCATGTCAGAACCCTCTCCCAGGGTTCCTGCTAACCTGGGGCTTGGAGCTGACAATTTGAATACTAAATAGAATACATCTACTTGGTGACTGTGCCACCATCTAGCTTCTGTCATCTATCACGTCATTTCTCTCCTCACTCTAGAAGGTTAAGCACAGAGATCTTGTACTGATGCTTTAATAGTTCATAACAAGAAGGTGGTAAATATTTATTGAATTAATAAAACTAATGAAAACATTCCACTTAGGTGATTGCATCTGTTTGTGTTGTTTATGGTGATAGTTAAGTGTTTAAGCAAAGAGAAACACAATATATATAATTGAAGAGTGCTGACTGCAAAGTATGCCCATGACAAACTGTACACTACAAAGCACAACAGAAAAACACAAGGCACAGAGGAGACATATAAGCCTAATGGAAGCTGGAAATTATTAACTGGTTTACCTTTTTCATATGATGGAACATTCTCTTGCAACAATCTACTAAGCTGTACTGCATTTAGATGTAAAAATCTCAGTTGTTCTCTCATTGGTCTTCTTTCTACAACTGGAAATAAAAGACTTCCAATGCTGTCCTTTGGAATTGGCAAACCAAGCCCTATCGCAAGTGTTGCAGCCAAATCTGTCTGCTGGACCTGTGTTGGGTATCGGATGTCACCTAGAAAAAGAAAACATTTTAGGAGATGGTAGTCATTCTTGAATTTGACCTTTTACAGCTAATATAAGCCAAATTATCCATCTCTTCAGGCTATTCCATGTAGATTCAAACAGAAACCTTTCCCTTGCTTTCTGTGTCAACAGTTACTGAACGCTGCCTCACGTTACATGGCTTATGATACACTAGGAGACCAATGAAGAACCTCCATGTGAGCCACAGAGCAGGGCCAGACACAGAGCTGGCAGATAGCTTGGCAGAGCCAACAGACTTGAACAAGGGTGAGGTGGGATTTTCTGGATACAGAAGGCTCTGTGCTCTTCTCCCTGGATATAGCTCTGATGAGACTTGGCCCACCTTTCAGCAGGTCCTAAAGAGCAACTGGGACTTCTCCTACCAGTATGTTACATTTTTAATAACTAATTCTGTACTGTGTACAAAGAGTGGAGTAGATTTGATCCTGAGGTATTTCTGGTTACCATTCTCTCAGCCCTTCAACCGCCACTGGCCCTGCTACATCCTCAGCTAAATAATCTTTTAAATATCCTATCAGCAGATGTTGATGCAACAGCCATCATGTCAGTTGTTATTATAGGTTTGAGGATAGAATAACAAATCATCAAACTGGCAACGTCCTACCTTCATAGAGCTTATATTCTAATAGCAAGAGGCAGACAACAAAATATACCTGCTCTGCCCTTCTGGAGTTCCAGGAAGAGGCTCATGACCTTTCCCAGACTCCTGGCCCTAAAGTGACCCAGATCTGTGCTTCTCACCTGGAGGTGAGGTGTTGGGATGGGCTTAGCAGATGAGGACATCTGGCAATCACACAGAGCACAATCTAAAGCATCATGTAAAATGGCTACCATAGCACTAAGGGCATACAGCAAATGAAAAAACTTTCATGCAAGAAAATATACTAAACTTGTGATAAGAACTTTAAGAGTCCATGGTACCCAAACTATGATCTGTGCCCTCTCCTCTCATAATTCAGTGGGAAAAAAAATCCACTACAAAGTTATAGCCAGGAACATAAGACTCCCTCTCTTCAAGGTGCATGGGTGGGTGGTACTAGCCCCCTGGCAGGGCAGAGCTTGAGCATCTCTCATCTTCCCTTGTTGCTGTTTTCCGCTCGGAAACAAAAGAGCAATCTGTCAGCAATTAGCAGAGCTCCAGAGCTGGGAGTGATAGCAACAGAGAGCTGTGGGTGTCCAGGCTATGCCACTGAAGCAGCACTGCAGCACTAAGTTAGTCCTCAAGTCATTAGAAAAATAAACATGCCCCAGCTCAGGGAAGGGTTGGCATCCAGAGTCAATACACTACATCATTTTTTAAATAAATTTTTTTTGAGACAGGGCCTCACTGTGTAGTCCAGACTGGTCTTGAACTCGGGGTAATCCTCCTCCCGCCTCAGTCTTCTAAGTGCTCGAATTACAGGCATGCACCATTACATCTGGCAACACTACGTCATTTAAAATGTTCAGTTTTCACCAAAAATTACAAGACACACGAAGTTACAGGAAAGTGTGACAAACAGGAAAAAGGCACCTTCCTGGGAAAGGGGTCATGTGTCAGACTTAAAGACTTCAAAGAGATTCATTAGAGGTGTTCAACAGTAGGTCTGAAATGGTACAAGAAAGCATCACAAAGATCAGCAATGACTATACAACCTGAAAATCAGAAAATCCTCACACTTAATGTAAAGCATTAATCTACAAATCTCAATGAACACCACACTGGATAAACACAAAAGACAGACTCACTGCAGTGAAAATGCTAGAAGAAGCTGGGTATGGTGGCACAGGCCTGTAATCTCAGCACTCAGGAGGCTGAGACAGGAGGACCATTGTGAGTTTGAGACCAGCCTGTGCTACAAAGTGAGCTCAAAGCCAGCCTGAACTGAGACTGTGTTTTGTCTCAACAAAATACAAACACAAACAAACAAAATGCTAGAAGACAGGAACCAGAATGCCGAACACCGACTTCTCATCAAAACCATGAAGGCCAGATGCACAACACGGCAGCTGGAAGCTGACAGAAAGATTGTCCACTAGGAGACTTAATCCAACAAAACTACTGTCAAAAAAGATACCCTCACGGTTGGGGATGTAGCTCAGCAGCACAAGCACTTTCCTGGCACGTGTAAGGTTGTGAGTTCAATCTCTGGTACCAAACCAAAAGGTAAAAAAGATATCCTCAGAATTCAGAAAACAGACAATTTGTTGGCAGCAAACTTGTCTTACAGGATACAGTGAAAGAAGTTCCTAAAGTTGAAGCTAAGTGACTTCAGATAGTAAAAAGGCAAAAATAGGTATATAATTCTAAAAGACAGCACAAAGGCAATTTCTTCCATTATTCTTTGACTTGATTTGAAAGGTAATATGAAAACCATATGTATAGTCATATGCTAGTAATAGTGTAACACACCCAGCTCCTGGGGAGGCAGAGGCAAGAGGATCCCAAATTTGAACCCAATCTGGGAAAATTATCAAGACTCTCTCAAAATAAAATAGAGGGCTGGGGATGTAGCTCAGTGGCACTGTGCCTGCCTGGTAGGTGCAAGGTCATGAGTTTGATCCCTGATACCAAAAGAAAAGGAAAGAAAGAAAAAGAAAAAGAAAAGCAAAAGTAAAATAGAAAGGGCTGCAGGTGTAGCATAGTGTTAGAATGTGCAAAGCCTTGGTTCAGTCACCAGTAATCAAAAAAGAAATGTATATATAATTATGCCATTAGTTGCAACATATGGAAATAAAACACATTTGACAAAAATAGAGATGAGAGTAGAACTATATTGTAGCAAGACAATGATTCTAGACAAAAACAACACATCCTTAAAAAAATATAGGTATTTACAGCAGCAAGTGGAAATAACCAAAAAGTCCCTCCATCAATAGACAATAAATAACAAGGTTCATCACAAGATGAAATTTGACTTAGCAACAAAAAGGAATGAGAGACCACCATGCTGCAGCCTGAACAAGCTGGAAAAACATAAGCAAAAAAGCATCTTAAGCCCTGGGTGCCAGTCTTACAGGATGCCCAGGAGAAGTGGGTCATTAGTGAGTGCCCAGTGCTGGGGGTGGGTGGGTAACTAAAATGTGAGAGATTTCTTTTTGAGGGGGTCAAATGTCCTAAAACTGACTCTGGCAGTGGTCACTCAATGCTGTGAATATATTCAAAGTACAATCTTGGCTTATAAAATGGGAAAAATGAGAACACAGCTATTCTTAGAAGACAAAACAGACCCAAAGATTAGGACTGAAGCCGATTGTATAGCACCAAACAGATGTTCTAAATACACACTCTGACCTTTGTTCCTGAAGAGGAAGAGCTGCATAATTGTCTCTGTCTCCCTGGAGTAAGAGCTCCTTCAGGACAAAGGTTATCTCTGGCTCCTTTGCTAACCCAGCAGTGCTCAGTACAATGCTTGGCCCATCACAAGCACTCAACAAACCCCTTCTGAGGGAATCGATGGTAGATGACCTTGCTGAGTGCCACCCTCACTTTCTGGGTCAGCATGGTGCTAGACAGATGTAAGACACAGGGCAGTGGCTTAGTGTCTGCCACCTTGCAGAAAGCAGGTGTCCAGCCTGGTTTCTGGAGAGGCTGAGTTCCAAAAGTCAGTGACATCTGGAACCCCCATTGGGGAAGGGCAAGGTAGATGGTTTTCCCTGCCAACACCTGAGTGTAAGATTTGTTTATTCAGAAAATCTGTTTTGGCACCTATTATATATTGGGTAACATCTCAGCATGGAAGAGAGCAGCAGTAATGTGAACTCCATAGACAAGACTATAAAGACAAACCAAGGCAGTCATGACATCAAAAGGCTCAATGCAGAGGAGACATGGACAGTAAAGTAGTCAGGCCTTGGAGATGAGGAATGATGCTTTTGAGATTGCAGGAGGCCAAGAGGGCGAGACAAGGGTGCCACAGCCAGAGGATGTTCAAGAGGGCAGAGAAGCAGGCACACAAGTCAGGGACACAGCTTCCAATGAAGCAGTTAGGCTGATGAAAAGCTTCTCATGGGATTCACAATTTATCTAAGATCAGCTACTAAAAGGCTTTATGCATGCAGAGATGTGAGAATAAGGAATGTGGGGAGTGAAGGCGGGCAAGAGGGACTCACATGGATGGTAGTACCATCTGTGCTCAGGACAAAGGGCTAGATGTGGAGAAAGCACTCAGATATGAAGCTGCTACACTGGTTCCAGCTATGAGACCTCACTTCAGGAGCAGCCAGGTGGACAGGTCTAAAGCCAAAGTGGAGACAGCCAGAAGGACAAACATTATGGGTGTGGGCCTATTAATGGTATCTTTGGCCATGGAAGCAGATAAAGCGTCTCAGGAGTGAGCGTAGAATGACACAAAGTCAGTCCAGAAAAGATCAGTGAAGGAGGCAGTGGGGTGGTGGCTGGGAAGAAAGTTAGTACTGTAAGGTGAGAAAGCCAGCTCCAGGAGTGTCCCTGGGGCTCTGTTGCACTCAGAAGTAAGCACTGCACTACAAGTGTGTCAGCAACACGTGGCAGACACCAGGCCCTCATGGGAGCCAGAGGACACAAAGCAGCTGGCTGGAGAGGGCAGTGAAGAGGCAAGGCAAACCAGGTGGGGCTGCAAAGGTGGTGTCTGACTTCCCCTAGGGCCTGCTCCAACTGTGTCCCTAACCCGGCTGACACTACTATTCAATATCTGGTTTTACGCAGTGGGTATTTTTTAGACATTTTAAACATTTGTTTCCTTCAGTCTGTGTATATGGTTTAGATGTCTGTAAGCAAAAGGCAGTTTTCTTTCAATTATTTCCAAATATCTAGATAGTAACATTCTAAAATCAACATTCGAACAAAAAGTACATGTGTTTTAAAAATCAGTGTAATATATACTCCAAACCCTGGCTGCTCTTCTTCACCTAATTTTTATTTTCACATTGCTCATGATATTTTGCGATTATACAGCTTTAAAACATGGCTTTTAAAATTAAAATCAGACTAGAGTTTAAAGATGTCAAACATTCTTAAATGCTCACCAGGTTTCCTCTCAAATGCAGAGCTGATTAGGACCAAGGGTGTCCTCACTTCCTCTGCTGAGGCGGCCCCATGACTCCCTGTCTCAGACATGCCATGGTCACCACAAAGAACCAGCAAATTGGGTGAAAGAGTCTCTCTCTCCTGCAAGGCAAAGTAAGGGCCAGCTGCAACCAGACTGAAGAGCACTTGTACTCTTGCTAAGCTGCGGCTGGACTGCAGAGACACATGACCAGGGGAGCACACACTGCAGATTAGCCTTAATCTTTTTTTTTTTGTCTTTTCCATTTTTATAGGTACCGGGGATCGAACTCATGACCGCCTGCTTGCAAGGCAGGTGCTTGTGCCGCTGAGCTAAATCTCCAGCCCCTAGCCTTAATCTTTTATTCCTGTGTCCTGAGCAAGAACTCCTGGGTGAAAAGCTCCCAAGGGCTCAGTCAAGCAAAGGTTCCATCCCAAATGCTGCAGGAGAAACACAGAGCTGTCATATTTGTGGCTTTTGATAGAGGATCTGCTTTAGCTACTCCTGGACTGAGACCCTGGGTACATGATTCTCTCCGTCTTTTATCATCTGTCAGAGGAGAGGCAAAAGGAACCTATTTAACATGACTGCTTGTGAATAAGACACATGGCATCTAGAGGGAACATTGAGCTGTGTAAGGTGAGTGTGCAGGGCTGCTCGATTAAGAACTAAACCTCATGCAACCCTTGGGCCCTCCACCTGCAGTCTCTGACAGCACCTGGCTCCTCTTTTCCTTAGCTTACAACATATCCTCATAGAAGCTGTTCTACGGATACCATTATTGCTTCTCCTCAACTGGGGTGCTGCTCCTTTTCCCTGGGTTTCCCTGTGGTACCAACTACTCAGCTGTTTTGTTTCTTTTTTGCTGTTTTACAAGGGGTAGCCTGCCTAAGAACAGCAACGTAGGAGGGGCCCAGGCTGCTGGGAGGACTAAGTCAGTGTGGCCATACAGGTGGCAAGGAGTTCAGTGGGCTAACTGGTAGATGTGGAGCTTGCTCAGGTAGTTCTGCTCCTGCTAGGGAACCTGAGCAATATAAAACTTCACCTCTACACCACTCGCCACAGTGAGCTCACCTTGGTCAGCAGCGCAGTGTAAATCTTCATCAGGATGCTATCCATCTCTCGGAGCTTGTGCCCAATCAGAGGGCTATCAGGCCCCGAAACATGGCCAATGTGATCCAGCCCTAGGTAGTGGAGGATTAACATGTCCCAATCTCCTCTTTTTAATACTTTTTCCAAATGCCTTGTAACATTATTATCCACCTTTGAAGGGGGAAAAAGTACATATAAATAGCTACCCCAATTTCCCTTGATTCTCACTCCCCAAGGAAAAAGTAACACAGTTATTTTAAAGTTTAGGGGATTATTTTAGGAGGTTTCTGGAGGTAAAAACAACAAAAAAAGATATAACAACCCCCTACATCATTACAAACAAACAAATAAATACACATTAGCCTTAATCTTTTATTTCTATGGCTGTAGACAGAACATACCATACAGATAACTGAAATAAGCAAGGGTTGTTCTGACAAGTTTTTATTTCTGTGGGACCACAGAGCAGCACCCAGAGTTAGTGACCAGCAGTCCTATGAGAGGGCTGTTTGTGGAGGGAAAGAGACAGCATTTATAACCTCTTTCATTTCTGAAAAAAACACATCATGGAAAGATTACAGCTGAGCAGCCCTGACAGATGGAGTAGCCTGCTCAACCCTAACATGACAGATAGCCCACTGCTCATCAACTAAACCTCAACTGCAAAAATAAACCCTCAACTGCAATGCCCCAAGGACCTTGTCATGACTGAGAAGCCATTCTGTGCCTGCCCGGGCCTATGTGGACAAGAATCAAGACTACAGACCCTCCCAGAACCCAGTGCTGGGTGCTAAGGCCATCACCTCAAGGCCAAACAGATATGGGGTGTACCCTTAATATGAGGACCCACATAAAGGGCCAGGGCTAGCTTTCTATGTGTGGATCTAGTCCTGTTCTCTCCTTTGCTGGAGATGGCACTCTAGCCTAGCCAGTTATGATTAGGTTTTACCTGGCTCACTGACTGCCATCAAGCAGGACATCACTCTCCTAAAAAACTGAAGGCAAAGCATCCCACAGTTCTGCTGCATCACAGGTTCCACCCGTCTGGTTTTGCCCCTCAATGCCATTTAGATCTGGTCCTGAGAGCCCTTCTGTTGTGGCACCCTTCCTGTCCTTGGTCTCCTCAACTGATGCCCAGCCACTTTGCACTTTGGGCTTCATGGATCTTTGTTCACACCTAGGTTTATGCCCCCCAGTGGTAAATGCTTATAATCTCTTCTACTTCAACTTTATAAATTAATAAATGCCACACACAAAATAACATCATCCCTCACTAGGTAAAGGCAATACCTGGTTCCATCTACAGTGACACATTTCTTTTATTTTAAAACTGATTCATGTTTCTCTTATTTTAAAAACTGACCTCTGTATAGTCTGACACAAAAAATGAGGTTGTTCCATCATATTCCACAAAATGCTTTGGAAATAACTTAAGCCATGTTTCATCTCCATAAAAGATCATTCTCTTGCCGGCTGCTTTTGCCTGTCTTATCACATTGTCTTCTAGCAGTGCAGGAGAATTGAGGTTTCTGATAACATCAACAAAGCCAGGGAGACTCCCTGTCATCAGTGCCTGCAGGAAGAAACATCCAAGAGTTAGGCCACAGAACCTAAAAAGTACAGCGCCAAAGGCAGGAAGATCATCTGAAAGGTAAAATGGGTGGGTACAAAACTAGCGCAGGCCCAATCCTGGAGGGCAAGCCAGTGCCAAGCTAACACCTAAGGTAGGGAAAGCACACAGGTTCTGGACAAAAAGAGCTGACTAGATAATGAAGATGAATCGTATTAAAAAACCTAGCTCAAAACAGTGCTTTCAGTAGAGGACAAGATAAAGGAGGATGCTAGGGATACTTAACAATAGCAGTAGCCAGAGGACCTGCAGATTAATGACAGTTAAGGCAATGGCTAGAGTATGTGCTGAAAACATGAACCTGTATTTTAAAGAGTGTTAAAGTATTGCAGTGTGTAGATGGATAATATATTTGACCAAGAGCATCATAGTGGCCGTTTATTTTGAGAGCTTCCTCTGGAAGTACCATTTGAGCTGAGATCTGAAAGCTGGACAGTTACTGATGTACAGCAGTGCTTTTCTGAGAGAAAAACAGGCAAGTGCACAGGCTCAAGGCAGAAAAGAATACTGCCTCTCCAGACTTGTAGCAGGTATGGCCAGTGTGGAAGAAAGGCAGAAAAGAGATGAGGGGGAAGAACAGGCACAGAGCTACACGGAACCTCAGGAACCTATGCTCAAAATGGGTAGAAGCTAAGCCATGGGAAGATGTTCTATTTTGTGGTACTATGGATCAAACCCAGGGCACTCTAACACTGAGCTATATTCTCAGCCCATTTTTAGCTTTTTTTTTTTTTTTTAATTTTTGAGACGGGATCTCACTAAGTTACACTGGTGAGACTTCAACTTAGGATCCCACCACCTAAATCTCCTGTGTCGCTGAGATTACAGAAGCCAACACACTGGGCCACCATACGAAGGGTGTATAACAGTAGCATTGTGATTAGACTAAGATTGACCTTGATCTGGAAAGGAGGAGATACAGGAGACATCTGTGTTTTCAGCTAGATCATAAGGTGCTAGCAGTAAAAATGGTGGTCAACACTACTGGAACATCCACAGTACTTAAGAATACATAGCCATATCACTTTCTGGGATATACTACAATTCTATCCAGATTTACAAGTTAAATAACCTATGTGAGTTTGCCTTCTTATGTATAAAATCACAACTTGACTGGATGACCCTAAACATTCCTTCAAGGGTTGTAACTAACCCACTGATAACTCAAGCACAGAGTAGATTTCTGAGTTAGGCTGGCATGAATCATCTGGCTCTGAGTTCTTTCTATTTTCCATGAAGTGTGGACTCTGAATACGTGGTAACAGGCACAAATCATGGATCTCAGTCCCATTGTATCTATAAGTCTCCCTAAGCATTGTACCACCCCAGCAAAACTGACAGCAACTAGAAAAAGTAGAAGGCTAGAGAATTCCTCTAAACTTTTAGAAGAGGAAAATCACAATTCATACATCATTTTATACTTACCTTGATTCGAGGCATAGTAACTGTGGGTGGCTTTGCTTCAGCCACAAAACTGTGAGATGGACCTTTTCCCATGAGATAAGTTGTAAAAGGCATATACCTTGCACCTTTTGATCCAAACACAAAATCATCTCGCAAGGCATCTATCAGCACAATGACAGCTTTACTGAAGAGAGGCAGTGGCAACTTAGTCCAGTTAGAATTGGCTCCTGAAAGTGTTTGAAAAAAGAAAAAAGGAGCTTAAAATTTCTATTTTAAAGCCTTAACATCCAAACATCTTCATTATCTACCTTCTGGCTGCTTCCCAGCACAGCCATCTGTGTATGCCATCCCAAAGAGGGCGTGCTTTTGATAGACATGGATGAGGAGAGAGGGAAAACATTAATAGTATAATAGTCCCAATAATAAGTGGTGAATCACTGTGTGTGTGACAATGGGGTCACCCCTACTTGATGGGGAGTACCAAAATATGACATTTAGGGAGTTTGAACTGAAAGAGCCCCGCAGTGTGGGGATGAGTGCACTCATGAGCTTCGTTAGCACAGCCAATGCTGTTATGGACTGGGGCTGGCCCAGAGCTAGAGAACCTGAACTGGTTTGCATTGCGGGGTAGGTAACGACTAGGAAGGGCTCTCATCCAGTCTGGTCTCAAGCCCTGGCAGACAAGGACCCAGGAGGAAAGAAACAGTAGAAAATGCGAAGGATCAACAGGAATTTTATTTGTTGTGTTCTACTGGGCAAAAAAGGCGCCTGGATTGGAAGTGACCAGGCAACAGGGACTGGGTCGCTGGAGGATCAGAGCGGGAGAGGCGGAGCTTGGCTAAGGAAGTAAATTTTGTAGAGGAAGGGCGAGGGCAAGGAGGGCTGGTTCCCACAAATTTGTAGGACATTTAAAAAAAAAAAAAAAAAAGTCCGGCGAAACGCGTTTTGGGGAGTGAGGACCATAAAAGAAGAGACCACCTGCGAGCGCCAAAGCGTAGGCCAAAACCCCGGTGGGAAGCAGTGTCAAAGGCGGAGAGGCTGGGGAGGGGGAATCCATACCGGCTAGGGGCTCGGGCGCCGGGGGTTCTGCTTGATGCCCCGTCCGAGAAGAGGAACGAACCGAAGCCGGGAAGAATCCGCGAAGGAAGATCGCGACCCCGAGCACCTCGATCGCCACGCAACTGGCGGCGAAGGCCCCGGAGCCCAGCCGCATAGCGTCTGCTCACCGGAGAGACCGCGTGTGAGGACTTCACCTGCACCCTCGCCTAGCTGCAGCTTCAGCTGCTAGTCCAGATTTGGAACTCAGCCTCAGACCTGAAGCCCACGACTGGGTAACCAAGAGCGCCCGCCCTCGGCGTCACCTCCGCCTGCGCGCCGGAAGTACGCGAGGCCTGACAAGGCTTTCCCAGCGGACACTCACTCTGGCTCCGCCCATCGCACGCCTCCAAAAAACTTGGCGCGGTGTCTGGCCTTGCCCCGGCCTCCTCGCAGTCATCATCTGGGCCCAACCGCAGAAGGTTCAGCTCGAAAGTTTTAGCTATTTGTGCTGCTTTTATTTCCTTTTTTTTGTCTTAGTACTGTATATAATGCTACATTCCTTTTTTGGAGTTGGCGTATGTACATACATATCTTAATTTCTTTTCTCATCCACTTTCCCTCCCCTTTCTTCCTACTTCTTCTGGCTCTTGGTCCCTTTTCCATTTGCGAAAGATCCATCTCCCTACTTCCTATTATCTTTTTATTTTGGTCTTTATTTGTATTTTGGGTTTCTCATAGAAGAGACACCTTGCAATATTTAAATTTTGTGTGTCTGATTTATTTCACTTAACATTATGGTCTCAAGTTGCATCTGTTTTCCTACAGATTGAGGTGGGTTTGTGAACAACAATATAGAAATCCAAGCAGCCAAATTGATAAACTTGAAATTTAATTAACTGAGCTAAGGGCCACTCATATACAGGACACCCCCCTCCCACCCATTTCAGGGTCCAAACAAGTGACACCAAACTGGAAAGTTACAGAGTTTTAAAAAGAGAGAATCACAAAAGACATCCTGTTGGAAACAATTTAGCTCGAATCTTTCATTAATTTTTGGTTGACACCTGTATACTGCTTCTTTTGTTGAGCAGTTTTTCTCCTGTGGGTACAGCTCATTCTGCTTTTGTCATTGGACTTATACCCTGAGTAATTTTCCATTTTCCTATAAACAGGGCACTGGTTAAATGTAGGGCTCAAGATGGCGTTTGTTATTCCAAGCTGCAACACAGATGATGCAAGTTTATCTTATTAATGTTAGAGGAGTACTGAATTGTATGTAGATACGTTTTCTTTATTAACTTGGTGGACGTATAGGCTGCTTCCAAGATTTAGCTGTTATGAATTATGCTGCTATAAATATGGGTATGCATGTATCACTGTAATATGATATTTTTTTTATAAAGTATTTATTTAGCCCCAAGTAAAGTATTTTAGGTATTATTATTATTATTATTTTGTCTTTTTCCTTTTTATCGGTACCAGGGATCGAACTCATGACTGCCTGCTTGCAAGGCAGGCGCTTATGCCGCTGAGCTAAATCCCCAGCCCCTGTAATATGATATTTTTAAGTCTTGCAAGGAGATACCTACAAGGGAGTAGCTGGATCAAATGGAGACTCTAATTTTAATTTTTTGAGGACTCTCCATACTGAGTCCCATAGTGGTTTTACTAGTTTACTGTCCCACCAACAATGTAGAAGGGCTCTTTTTCCTGGTACCTTATGTGATTTCTTCAAAATAGCCATTCTTTCTGGGTTAAAGTGGAATTTCAGTGTTGTTTTAAATTTTTATTTCTCTAATGACCAGTGACTTTGAACATTTCTTTATGTATTTATTGGCCATTTGTATTTCTTCTGTGAAATGTCTGTTGATTTCACTTGCCATCTTTTAAGACACATTTCTATCAAAGTAAAAGGCCCCTAAACAGCAAAGGAACACATTCTTCCATTAACATAAGACAATGCTTTTTAAATTCTTTTTAAAGAGAGAAAAGTAAAAAAAAATAAAAACAATGATAGAGCTTCAAAACAATAAGAAACTAACAGGTTAATATATTGCTTGTCAAAGTAACTGCTCAGATTACAAGATATAGGCATGCAAAATTAAACAGTATAAGCACAAACCAATCTTCTCAATGAACTAAAAGAAGTTAGTATCATAATTATGATATATATTTGTGTACATATATATGTATGTATGTATGTATAAACACAATGTCCTTTTAACATGCCTGTTGGGTAGAGGTTTCATAAAGCTCATGTTATGGATTAAGAACTGATAGTCAACTTAATGCCAGCTGGATTACATCAGCATGGTACTGAGCGTAGATGCTCCATCTGAGGAAAGTTGCCAGCATAAATAGAGAGGTGATGAAGAAGAAGGAGGGCGTTAAGGCATTGTTGCATTGAGGCATTGTGGGTTCTCCTACGAGTTGCTGTTTGAGCCATTGGTTCTCCTGGAGAAACTTTGGTCTTCACATCGAGCATTGCTTCCTGGCTTCAGAGAGGAAGATGTGTGCCGCTTGGTCTCCAGGATGAATGCGTCATGCTGGCTTCCTGGCATGTACTCGATTGTTCTTGTTGTTAGAGGAGCTCAGGGCCTACATATCACTGAGGATGACTATGGTACCTTTCAGGACAGCCCTGGTCTTTGCTGTGTGACTTCACAGCTCCAGCGCAGAACCCTCCTCCCACCAGCACAGCTCCTTCACCCTGCTGGCATGAACTTTCTGGCTTCCACCGCTGAACTTTGGGCTTTCCCAGCACGGATCCGTAAAAGGGACTGGCGTGAGTCCTTGTGGCTCTGGAGCTCCAGATGGACTCATGGGAGGCATTGTCATGAGCTCTGGGTTTTCATGGAGACTCGTGTGAAACATTGCTGTGGGATTTAGTCCTTGACTAAATATTCTGTATTTTTGGTGTTATGGATAGATTTCCTGCTTTTTCTTGTGCTAACTCCTGGTGACTATTATAACATGATATTATAAACTCCATGTCCTGATTCTAATTGTTCTCTGTACAACCCCTGACTACACCAGCTCATTATTGAAAAAAAAATTAATGCAGTGCATTTCATCAAAGCCAACACTCTTGTACAATCACTGTGAAGTAAACATTTATAATACTTCAAACAGTTTAAATGTAAAATCTGATTGGTTGTCTTTAATTCTCAGTAGAGCCTACTAATCATCTAGGTTGCGGCAACATTGCCTACTATTTGTCCTGTCACATTCCTCCTGCTGCAGACCTGCACCCTTCTTTATTTGCAGATCTTAATTGTACAAAATCCACTTTCCCAATTTTTGATTTGGTCTTTGGCGGAGTCTAATTTTTTTTTAGTTCTTTATATATTCTAGATAGTAGTCCTCTCTTTGAGGAATAATTGGCAAACCTTTTCCCATTCTGCAGGTCGTCTGTTCACTTTACTGGTTATTTCATTTAACTGTGCAGAAGTCTTTTAATTTAATGTGATCCCATTTGTTGATTCTTGGTAATAGTTCCTATGCAACTGGGGTTCTGTTCAGAAAGTCCTTGGAACCCCAGTTGCATAGGAACTATTACCAAGAGTCAACAAATGGTATCATTGTAGAGATCTTTTTTACTTCCTTGCTTAGGTTAATTTCTAAATGTTTAATTCTTATTGACACTATTGTGAATGATTTTTTTCTCTAATTTCTTTCTCAGTGTTTTCATTATTAGTGTACAGGAATATTATTGATTTTTGCGTGTAGATTTTGTACCTGGTAACATTGCTGAATTTGGTTCTTAATTCTACGAGCACTTTTGTGAGTTTTTAGGGTCTTCTGTATAGAGTATCGTGTCATCTGCAAATACTAATAATTTTACTTCTTCTTTTTTGATACAAGTCCACTTTTTTTTTTTTGCTTAATCTATTTGTGACAGTAGGATATTGAGATACCCCACTATAACTGTGTTTGTTATCTGATCTTTTATGTCCATTTGTACTTGTTTTATGAAGTTAAGCATTCCATTATTTGGTGTATGTATGTTAATAATTGTTTCTTTTTTTGGATTTGTTTCCTTAGCCTACATATAGTTAATAGGCCTTTTGCCCTTTTGATTAGTTTTGCCTTTTTTGATTAGTTTTGGCTTGAAGTCCACGTTGTCTGAATTATAGGTTAGCTATAGTTGCTTTGTTTTCAGGTTCCCATTGCATGAAATATTTTCCATCTTTTGATTTTTAGTCTATGAGTTTCTTTTTGTATTAAATGTGTTTCTTGTATATAGCACAAAGTTGAATTTTATTTCTTGGTCTACTCTTCCAACTTTTGTATTTTGACTGGTAAACTGAACCCATTCACATTAAGAATTACTACTATAGAGCTTTTTTACTAATGTGCATTGAATTATTTCTGTCATTGATTTATTTCCTGTAGCAATTTCCCCATCTTTTTCTCATAATTAACTGCTCACTCTACCTGATGTATTCATTGTATTAGATATTTTGTCATTTTTAGCTTCATTTTTTTCTTTTTAGGATATTCTTGAGAATAGAGAGAGCATAAAACTTTGGTAAGCACTTTGATGACTTTAGTAAATTATTAAGTAGCATGTGTGTAATGCCTCTAAGTGGTAAGCAAATACAAGTAAAATTGTATGAGATCATTGTTACCATCAGCTCTATATGCATTTGACAAAATCCCCTAGAATGTCCATGAATGCAATATGGTTTAAACGATTGTGATCATTGTTCTATACACATTATTTCCTGGACTAATATCAGTGGATAAGCTCAGAAGATAATAAGATTCATTATCTTTTCCCTTCCTCAATTTGTACATGTATATAAAATTCCACGTTATATATACAAAATGGGCAGAGGTAATTATAGGCAAAATACAGTGTAAATTCAGATCTTCAACTTTGTGTTTTTGTTTTAGAATGAGATATTTGGAATAACTTAATATTTGGAAGCAATACCATTTTTAACAATGTTCTTATTTCATTATCATTTTGGTGTTGTTTTCATTTGGAAAAAGCAAATTAAATTATTTCATTTTTATTCTTGAAATAACAGAAGACTAGGACCTACAAAGATTATATGCACACTAAACTCAGTATATCTTTCAAAACAATTTTTGTGCAAAAGGGTATCTATGGAATGTGATTCTGAGATTATTGTTCCTAAGCATGTATCACATGGGTAGTGTTGCTAAATATGATAGTATGAATTGTTTGATGCAAAAACCTCCTGCTATAAATTCTGGATAAATTATACACACATTCACTTAACAGTCTGTCATGGTGACAAAAATAAGTATCATTCCACCTTCCAAATATGAAGAATTATCTAAAAGGAAGGTATGAAGCAATCCAAGAGAT